TCCGCAATGTTAAAAAGGTTTCTATTTACGATGCATTCGATCGTATTGTCGTTGAGCAGCTTGCCGCAACTAGGTTGCACTTCGCCAATCTTTACATCATGACCCAATTCCAGCAGATGAGTTCTGCTAATCTCCCATACGTCTAGTATTTTATGTACAGATTCACTGCCCTGGGGAATAATTTGTAAGCACAATAAGAATTTATATATGTAAAATTGAGAGAATTCTCTGTCAACAGAACAGAAAATTTTATGAATGTCTTAGAAGCGTCAGTGTATCCTGAATCTTACCTGTATTATTGATATAAAAAGTTCCTTTCCAGCGATAAATGGGGCCGTGAAGTTTTTCAGTTCGTTCACAGTCTTCGGTTGTGGCCACAGCAAGTTATAGATACTTCCTTTATCGGCGATAGATTTGCTAGGACTCTCTTTGCCTGCATCACGCGAAGGCACATCATACGCCGGATCCGACGACTTGGTAGATTCGACCGACAGTTGGCTCATATTGCACGTGAGACCCTGATAATAGTTCGTATCTGGGTACAACGTAGTGGCACTGTGTATTGTTTCGTTCTCATTCAGCATGAAATTCGATATAAATCTTAGAAGGAAAGAGTGTAGAGATTGCTTCTTTCTGGACAATTCGTACGGCGTTTTCCCCGCAAATGTTCTGTAAAAGAAATATATTGCCATTTTATATGTTTGCACACCTGAGAATAATATATTCGTACAATTAATCGCTCACCCTTTGGTAGCCCGTATAAGAGGATTTGCGCCAGCCTGCAATAGTTCCTGACAGATAGCGATGTCGCCACGATTCACTGCATCGTGTAACGGCGTTGCACCGCAACCATTCTCGGCATTTACATTCGCTCCTTTATCTATGATGAAGATTCTAACATGATGAAATGTTATTTTCAGGTGTCAGCCATCGCGTCTGTCTATACATTACCAAGTAAACACGCGATAATGTCTTTGTTCCCGTAACATGCTGCCCAATGCAGTGGTGTGTTCTTGCTACCCTGCGAGTCCCACGAATTAACATCCAATCCTGCATCTAGCAACTGCACTACTCTGTCTACTCTGTGAAAAGATACGTACCCATTGTTTTGCGATATTGATTATATAAGTTATACCTCACAATTGAAAAAGAAGACCAGGAAAATAAGGGTCGAGATATTTACGTACTCAGAAGCAGCTGTTGCCCTTAACATTTCATCTATATAAATACGTCGTATTGCATCGCTCGAGGCAACATCTACCGCATTATGTCCATTCGCGTTCTGCACAGCTGGATCGGCACCGCAATTCAGAAGAGTTCTCACAATGTCCGCCTGGTTAGTCTAAACATAATAGGCGTGATAATTCAAATGGAAGAATTCGAAGAGAAAGAAAATTGGAATTGCGACACTGAGCAGAAGCATATTACCTTCGAGGCATACGACAAGAAAGTCCCTTCTTCCAAGATCGGTTGATTCAGTATCTTGTCTCTCGTGATGCCCTCCGTGGCATTACCGTTCTCACCTGCGGCAGAGGAAGACCGACAATGTAAACAGCAAAAAACGAAGGACGTTCATATCCCTCCCGTTCGATCTATCCCAATACAAAGGCAGTTCGCGCGAAGTTTGAAGCGAAGGAAGGAAGGAAGGAAGGAAGGAAGAAACCGCGGCAAACACATATCCCTGAGATACGTACACGCGTCCAGGAGCGACCTGATAATGTCAGTACGTCCGTGTTCGATCGCCGTGCGAATGTTCTCGCAGATGCCTTGCATCTCTGCTCGGGTTCGGTCTGCAGCTCGGAGTACGGTGGGTCAAGCCGGCGCGTCGCCAGACGTCATCGGGCTGTCATCCCGCTGTCAGCTGTCAGAGAGACTCGCGCCGGTCGTATCGCCGAACTCCCGCACGGCATAGCAGCGGCAAGCGACGCGCCCGCACGCACCAGTCCACGCACACACGGCACACGCACCACGATGACGTTTGCGCGCGCGCAACCGGTGCAGGTGCACCGCAGGGCCGCCACGAACTGCACCTCCGCTCCGTCATATGTTTAATTACGAAGGAATTTATATTATTATTTATTTTTACAGAGTTACTTATTATAGCGATAGTAATATATAGACTATTAAATTAAATAAATTTTTTTATTAATAAATTGCATAAGTGCTAAACTGACTTGCACGTTTTTGAAAAGCGCACCATGTTAGTTTGAAAATGGCGGATGTGCAAACTTGTTACTTGAGGAATCATAACATTACATTTTTGGACGCATTGTCGACTGTGAAAATAAACGGGCATTCTCGACGTCGTCGATCCAACGGCTTGGAAGTATTCCTGTAGTGAGCATTATAAATCTCATTAAAATTAAGACAGCATTTACGAATGATGGGTATTCCCTAGAAAAGACGTCCAGCTATTTTCTTCTTGATCGTGCGGCGCAAGAAAAAATAAAAGAGTGTTCCCTAGGAGGCACATATACAGCTGCTTCTCTCCCCTATGACTCGTGGTGTCAACAATGACATTTGTTCGTTCGCCCGCATAATTTGCAAAACGGTAACCTCCGTACCAGCTCGTCGCGTGTGCATTCACCTCGGAACGGGAGAAAAGCGAGAGCCCAGGAGGAGATTCACGTGCTCTGGAACCCGAGAAGAGGCGGAGGAGTCGAAGATTGAATATCGTGTTCAGAGTAGAGTAGCCCTTGGAATCGAGTCAGTCTATTTAATTATGATAGCCATGGAGCTGTTGTTCGGGGTACAAATAAATTCCGAAATGGTCATGCCAATCACGCTCAGCGGCGTAAACCTGAAGACGAAAGTGGAGACGCTGAAGCAGGAAGCCGCGGAAAGGTGGAATCTGCCCAAGGATTCATTTGGTAAAAATGATTTTTGCTTTATTTGGAGATTGAGTCTTTTGTCACATGACTCTTTGTACTCTTTGTTTACTCGATCCTAAGTTTAACATCAGATTCTTTGAATCTCTGGTATATCTGAAATGTGTATCGAGGCATTTAGCTATTACAAATTTTGATTGAATTAGCTTTGTTTTCAATTCTTAATAGATTGGCCTTGTTTTTTTTTTAAGGAAAGATTAACTCTAATTTAGTAAAAGAAAATATGATTAAAATTTAGTGTCCTTGAAATATTCTGTTTAAAACAATCTGTTATAAAATAAATTCAACTAATCTTTGATTTAAACGTGATACTGATGATTGTCTTCTTTTTCCTGTAGAATTTATTTATTGTGGGCTTGTACTTGAGGATGACGCAACGGTGGAATCTATTGGATTGAAAAATGGATCTATGGTACATGCATTACAGAAGAAAGAACCAGAATCATCAATATTGAACAAACATATATCAGAAGATTGCATATTACAATTGGCATCGGCATTTAAGTCTTTCAATGAGACACCTGCGTTTAGAAGCGCTCTGCATGTAATTATCGTTTAAATAAAGATTCTGCTTGTTATGTCTTTTTATATTAAATTATATGATTAACTATTGTCATGTATTGTTAGAGGAAACTTTTATAAATAAACATTTTTGATGTGTTTCAGCGTTTAAGTAAAAGGCCAGAGGTGATAGACAATATAATTTCTTCTTCTCCTGGATTACACGAGGATGCAGTCGCTATTGCCATGTTACAGGATCCTGATTTAATGGCGCATTTCATAGATGTTGACACTGTCAGAAGGTGATTAGTGATTTTAATCAGTATCTCTCTGTGTTCAGAAATTTTATGCAAACAGCACGTTTCTCGAAGAAATACATTCTTATTTCACATCTGGTTTGTAGCGTGAATATGGATTTAAACTTTTTTTTCATATATTTAGAATTGCAGAACTGCATCCGGTATTAATTGAGGCGGCGCAGAATATCGCGGCGGCTGTGCACGAGGAAGCGCACAACGCAGCCTCCAGCGGCTCCTCCAGCAGTTCCGTGGCCAGTTCGCAGCCCACCACCGCACGTTCCTACAGTATGGATAGTATGAGCCTCGAAGAAGAAATGGCGCGTGACATCGCTCACTTTTTCGCTACGCAGCCTGTAAACGATAGCAATTTGCGTTTTCCTAACGCGTTGCCGGCCGCAAATTCACAGCGACCGGACAATCCACCGTCCTCCACATCCGAGAGCGCCAATCAACCCCCGGCCGAGAATCAGAGCACCGGCGTGATAACGTCGCAGATGTTCATGGAAGCTATGAGACAAGCCGCGCTGGCGACCAATTCGAATCCGCAGCAGCCGGTCACGTCGCCCGCGACCTCCTTGTCACCGGTGTTACCGCTATTTTCGCCACCGATCAACGATCTGCAGCGGCAGTTGGCACAGATGCACGAGATGGGTCTTCAAGACGACACCGTGAACATTCAAGCGTTGCAGTTTACCAATGGCGACGTGCAGGCGGCCATCGAACTCGTGTTTAGTGGTTTCTATGATAATTAATGGACAGGAACGATGAAACAAGGTAATATAAGTGATTACAGTTTGTACAAATGGTGTCTCAGAAAAAACAGTGTTTTCCAGATGAATCAGCTTGGACATGACACGTGTTCTCAATTTGTAACATAGGTTGATGCTGAGTCATAGAGAATGTGTTCAAGATGTTTGTGAAATATACTGCTTAACAAAGACTTTTTTATATAATTTTTAAGGTACATTGTTCATTGATGCTAATAATATAGAAAGATCTTTGAACTTTTATCTTTCAAGAACTCGTATAAAGACTTATTCTAATTTCTCAGAGTGCGAAAGAATACGATGTACTTCGTTATTAACATCGACGCAGAAAATATATCAAGAAAATTGATGTTATGTATATTAAGAAAGTTTTGTTTAATGAAATTCTACTTTTGCTAAATGCTATGTATGAATTTTTATATTTCCGACAATTTTGCATTTATGTATATTGTTCAAGCGAAACTGACTTTTACTTCTTCCATGTAACGTTTTTTTACTGTTACCATATGAATGAACCAATACATTCGGACATATCACACATATGTTGTAGTTATCTCCAAATTCTAATCATTACTGATATATAGTTTATGAAATTGTTATTTTTTTTGTTTTTTTTTTGCAAAGTCGTCAAATTCAATCGAATAACATAAATTTAACATATTTGAATAAAAATCAATGTAAATATACATATGTCTGTATGCGCATATATACGTACATATGAACTTTGATAAGTTTCTGTCTTTCTTTCTCCTTTTTTTATCTCTCTGTCTTTATCTCTATAACATTACTATCGTGGCAATTTTTTTATAGCATTGTTATTAATTTAAATGCCAAACAATTATATATATATATATATATATATATATATAAGAAAATTTTGCTTCACAGAACTGCAACGTAAAAATTAAAATTGTGATAGGGGTTTTTGTTCAGCACATGCGAGCCACGTGGAATAACGCTTCAATATGTAGATATATCAGTGCCAAATGCTCGGGATAAATGCGTCATGCATGACAACAGTGGTATAGCGCGGTTAACGCGAAATCGAATGCGTCGCGAAAACCACCCACACAACCACATGTAAGTGTCACATCTTTAAGTACCGAGTCATCATTTGAGAATCTGTAGGATTTTAAGTGACGTTATAAATGACGTTCAATTAAGACTTATCTGATTATTCACGAGAGATCTAAGAACAGTTACATTGGGAAATGCAATTCTGACATTATGCAAGTTGTGTTCTGACTCATTAATGATAATTTTATTTATCTCTGTAGGATATCTGTAGAATATGATTATAATAGTATATGAAATTCATGAGAAATGTATGTTATTGCCAGTTGGAGCAAATTCTACACAAATAAGAAATTCACTCGAGAAATTATTTGAATGTATTTTGGGAGATAGTTTATATATAAGTATATATAAAATAATCCACATGAATTTCAACGATTGACAACAATGACAACGTTTTCTTTTTAAAAATCAAGTTATCCTAGTTTGTTTTCTAGGCACATATATATACAACGTCTAATCCTATACATAGCATTTTGAATATTATACAATTTCACGCAAATTATCAATGAAGATATCAGACATGGTAGGACTGTATCTACAGATTGTGTAAAGAGCGAGTTCACATTACAGAATTTGCAAGAGGGGTGCAGTGCCCGCGCGATACAATACTGCCCACCGGCGACGCCGACGGTGCGTTGGTGCGTGTGCCGGTCTGCCGGTCCCTGCTCACGCATCGGAGCGAGTCAGCGAGTGTCGCGAGGCCCGAGGTAAAGGGGATTTCTGCAACGGTCCGTCACGTCAGTAAGAATCGGGATTTCGCGTGGTTCGGACGTGCAGAGACGGCGGAGTCTCCCCACAGTTCACAGTCGCAAGTGACACGAGCAGCACGTGCTCGCGACGTCTGGCGTGCACGCGCACTCATCGATTCACACGTACGTACGTCGAATACACACGCACACCCGAGGCACACGTGTCTAGTGTCGACCCTGCCGCCGGTCGGCGGTCAGTGCCGGTTGAAGAGACGCGCCAACAGCGAAAGGCTTTCAATCGGTAGTCCGTTGTTCTCGGCGCAATGATCGAGGTTTCGAAAAGCCCAGTAGCTGGATAGAGCACAGAAAAAAAACGATACATTATATCTCGACAGGAACTGGAGATAAATATATATAGGGTGCGAGGTTATGAGGAAGCCGCAAATCTGACGCTTGGGAGGATTCCTTGCCTACAGGATTGCGAGTTTAGCGAACGAGAAGGTGAACAGCCAAAGATCGAGTTTTTCGCCATGCATTCGACGCTAAATACGGTTTGCGGTTTCGAATTTTATCTTATAAATATGCAATTCTTTAACTTCTCCCTTTTAGCAGAAGACATATTTCTCTTCTGCTACCCAGAAATTTTACGCTCGGCTGACGTTTAGAGGCGACAGGAGACGGATGACCAGTCGGGACACTCTGGACTGGACCAACCGCGTTTAGCGTCGAATGCGCGGCGAGAATGCGGTCCCTCGATTTCGCCGGGGCGGGCGGCCAAACGAGCCGGTCGCGTGCGAGAGCGAACGCGTGGAAGCACAGGGCCGGTTTAAGATTTAAGATACTCTCTGTTATTCGTTGAGACACCGTTAAGCAACTTTCTGTTTTTTCCACTCCTGTTTTTCATTAGTAGTATCAATTGGAGATTAGACGATGACAAAACAGTTTGCTCAACCAAGATTATCCTTTGTTTACAGAATCACTCCTATTATACTTGTAGATGAAAAAATTATTCAAGACTGTATATGTCCTTTCTTTAGGATATCTAGATTAATATTATTATTGTTATGTGAAATGGTGTAAATTGATGTAAAAGTTTTCTTGGAAAAAGTCTAGCTCTTGCATCAAATTTTAACTAAACAACTAAAACTCAATATATTACTTTTTCGATTACCGTTCGTTTTCTTATGTCAAAAAAGACGGCTATATCGTTTGCTGTTAGCCTTGCACCGGCCCTGTGTGGAAACGTTTGCATTCGCAATAAAGGCCGCGGCACCGTTCGCGATCGGTCGGCGTTGCTAAGCGCGCCGACGATTTTTAAAAGTCCGTCCGCCTCTTCTAACATCCTCTGTTCCGCGATTTCGCGCAAAGTGATGTTTTACCCTGTCTCTTGTATCTCGTTTAATCTCTCAATTTTTATCTGGCGCAATCGAAAGAATATATTAATTGTCTCCAAAGAAGCGAACGAAGTGTTCGGTTTCTACGCTTTACACTTCTTTCTATCATCACAATCTTCATTTGAAAATTATATTATGAGATAACGTATAAGCAGGATGGTCTCCAAATTCTAGAATGTGCTCCAACAAGATGCAATGAATCTTTGATGAAATTCATGTTGGTTAGTTCTTTTTAAACAGATTTTTTATTTCCTTTGACTCGCTTTTCTTCACCAGTATTTTGAAACTATTATATGTTGTACAAAGAAAGATCGAGACCCTGTCAAAATTAAAGATTCATTTTTTTATAAAGCCACTTCGTAAATCTCGCTCGTACCTTGTTCTTAAAACAAAACGAGAGCCGAGGGAATAAACGATATGCAAACAGATAGAATCGGTTCGAAGAACAACCTTCGATTCGTAAGAGCGAAATCTGAAGAGCAAGCCGAAAGCCCGTAAAATCGTTTCGCGAGACGGAGAGCACTCGACCTTCGTTTATAAAGACAAAATTCGAAGAATCGAGCGAAAGGCCGCAAACTCGACGCCGTGAAGTCGACGCCGCGAAGTCGATGCCACGTAGAACACATAAGACGTGGATCTTTGATTGTAGAAACAATCCAAGGTACTGGCCTGCCTACGGCGATTGCAAACTTTCGAAATAAATGGTAGTTAGCAACGAGATCAAAGAACGACTGAATTTTACAGTTCTTAATGCCTCATCCATCTTCGGACTAGCGCTATCTGAGTTTAGAGTTTGTTTAGTAAATCATTGACCACTGTGAGTTACATTTTTAGCAAAGTTATATTTAACGATATGTATCATTTTTTCTCATTGTAATCTTTCTTCATTGCAGCTGTTTATACGATGCATTGCTAATTGTGGCCTGCACGGTGGAATTTTTAATGTCACTAGAATTTGGTTCAATTTCTTTTTTTACTTACATTCTCGGATAAATTTAGAAAATGAGTTCTATGGAAACTTTTGAAGATATTATTTATACTTATAACAAATTAGTTTTAGGTAGTGTCCATGTTGGTTGAATTTGATAGAAATATGCAGAGAGAGAGAGAGAGAGGGTCGCGTTTAAAGCCATTGCTACTAGGAATTTCGCGGTCGAATCGTTGGGATAAGATTCTTATCTTACCTAATGGGAAATGATGGGATAGGAAGCAAAAAGCGGTAGCACTGGCCGAGAATAGAGCAGATTACAGTTCGAGCTTCTGGAACGTTCAACCTCTCTCTCATCTTTCTATGAAAAAAGAACCTCGGCATTTCCTCGAAGTCTTTAGAATTTCCGGCTATTTGTAAACCTCTGATGTAGCTTAATTCTTAGGAATTAACTTCCATCAATGACAAAGTGTTAATCTAATCTTTTGAATAACGGATTATCTAAAAAAAAAAAATATTTTTGAACAGGTGTTCATTCTTGCTTCTGATTTTTCCTCGGATCTTTTTTATAATCTGAGAAACATGATTAATTTTATATCGAGGCTTTTAATCAATTTAATTTGTTCAATTTATTAATTTACTAATTTATTAACGCATTCAATTTATTAAATGCATACCAATTTAATAACACCTAAATTACAACAGAACATGTAATTTGCGCTCTAATATAGATATTAAAATATTTTATTTTCCTCCGGTATGAAATGATACAATCGTGCGACAGTAATAATTCGCGTGTAGATGATTAAAATATCTATTTGTTTCGATAAATAATAATTTATAGACAGCCACGGGTAGGCTCGTCAGTGAAAACATCTTCCCCGTGGATTTCGGTGACGCCAGCTGATGATGCTCGCAACGCTTCGCTGCTAGCGATGAATGCTCCCATAAAAAAAAGAAAGAAAAAAATACAAGAGCAGGCGTGGTCTACGAGGACCACATGGCTCACGGCCGCATTCATGCGAAAGTTTGTAATTCCAGTTGCACCGGCAAATGGTTGTTTTACTTGTAGGTCTCTTTAGAATAGTTAGCGCAGCATCGGCATTGGATCATGTCTTGTCGGAAAGGACGGAATGGCGGTCTCGATCAGGATGCGCCAGGAATGTCCATTGTCCAGATTGTATTGTTCCGCGATGGTTTACACGTAAATGGGCCTGCTGGCGTCATCGAGATACGATTGTCAAATAAATTGCAGGCTGCAGGTTGACGCGCTTTCGTTTTGCAGGTTTTTTTTTATTGCAGTTTTCTTGCTTCTCTTTTCGCGGCCCTAAAGCCTTATGTCTTGCGTTGAAGCACCAGTTAACGGTTTACGGTTGAATAATAACGCGTCCAGTTTGAGCTCGCCGCAAACTGGTTTATTCAAATTCGAGCCGCGGCCGGTTGATGGCCGATACAGAATAAAACCCGGCGCGATCCGCAGGCGGTTTAATAAAGATTCCCGTCAATTAAGTATGGATTTGAATCCGAGCGTGAACCGGTTTAAACCACTCCTCGGCGGAGTTAATATCCGGTTATGTCGCATTAAAACCCTTTACGCGGAATAGAGAGCGATCGTCAACGTAACATTGTTAAACGATATTTCTTTTTTGTATGCGGTGAAACTGAAGTTAATGAAACGTTACAAGAAACGATACACAATTATCGCTAATCAAGGATATTTAAGATTAACGGCACATACGTCCGTTTCATTTCAAGAACTTGTCGGGATTTAGATTTAAGAGTTTGTTATTATTATTTTACTGTGGCTTTGAATGGCTTCTAACATCTGTAATTTGTAATTTGTGTGATTTAAGAGTTTATTATAATTCGGGATAAAAGCTGCCGAACGTCTCCCTGGAACTAATCAGGATCAGGAACTAATCGGCAATTCTAAGAAATATCTAAGAAATACGAGAGGACATTAGACATTCTTCGCGCATCGCCGCGCTATTAGATGATAATGATTCGAAAATCGTCGCTATCTATTCGACGATTAGCATATTTCGTCGCCGGGTAATCCACGATTGCAAGAATAACTGGGAAAATCATTTCATCAACGAACTGATTGGCAATCTTTCAATTTTCGATAATAATTCCCTCTTTTTTTCTCGGTTCTGGCGCAGAAATTGAGATGAAGACGCATTTCGGAAGTCGAAGAGGAAAATTGTCTCAAAAATTTCGACTGTACCATTCAATGGCGGGACTCGTCGGTCATCGCGCCGTAGATTTTTATCTCTCTCAAGATTGGTATTCTTTTCCATCAGAATTGCTTCTTTTTATTTTCTTTCAACGCAATCCGCCGACGATTTATCTCGGGCTGATTCGCGCCTCGCGGACGCCGCGAAGGCCTTAAAATCGACGCGATCGCCAGCGATAATAAAGAGGCGCGCTGTTCGACGAAGTCAAACAGTTCGATCCCGCGATTCGAGGATCGTTTGCCCTCGCGTCGTTTGTTTAGCTGCTAATAATTAAGACATGGTCGCGGCACTCATATGCGGCCGATTTGGTGCCCGTTGGCGCGGCGCAAACAATCGGCGCGATCGGAGGACATAATGAGGGAAATTACGTTGACGCTCGCGTCAACTCCTCGCGAATTAAATTCAGATGTCACGTCGAATTAATTAGTCACGCTCGCAACGCTAGTCGATTGACGCACACGTGGAATATCGGTAGCGTATTAACGTCAGTCGACTTCGTGCCTCGCGATGATCGCATACATTATAAAAGGCATTAATCGTTTCACCAGTATAAAGATAAAAAACTGTGTTAATTTATCTTAAATTATATAAAAACGCGACAGTAATTTTATCACTGTTTAAACTCTAGAGCTTGTGGAAATACAGAAAGAACTGAGAATCTTTCTATCTATAATTATGTAATGATTGTAATTGTATTGTCATTTTCAAATTTTTTTTGTATTTTCTTTCTGTAGTTTTAAGAACGAAGAGATTTATCACGAGGTCCGCTGAAGATATATAATTAGTATCCCTGTTCGGGATTACAGATGAACACTTCGTGTTTGTGCAGCGAGTGCATACGGCGTAGATCCTTGTACCGCGATTAAGGACGACGATATTACCGGCTTTGTAATCGCCACGGTGACAATGATTCGATAGTCTGACTGCCGGAAAGCGCTGTCACACGTGCATCCGCGTGGGAAACGAGGCGACGTGTCACGGATATGGAAAACGACCAAGCGCGGTCTGTTTTTTCAGTAATTAGATGAATTAGTGTATTAAACCCACCAGGGATTAAAGATAATCGCGAACGACGAGGCAAGGGTAATTTCATAATAATTGACACACCCACGCGCGGTGTACCTTAATTGTCGCGAGGTGGACAAGGCCAAAGGTCTCCGCTTTGTGTCTCACCTTGAACCCTTGAGGGAAGCTTTTTTGTTTCGGACTTCTCAGAAAAGATCTTTCCCAGGAAAAAATTAATCTCTTACTTTTGGGGGCAGGCTACTGATAGCAACAGTTTGTACGCTTATTCTGTAGCGCTCGAGTATTAAACATTAATTTTCAGCAGTAATCGACTTTTAATAACATGTCGTTAGAAACGAATATTAATAGCCAGTGATATTGGTTCTGGTTTTAATTGTGACACATTCATGCGTAGGCTATTCTAAGAAAATTTATCTGAAGATCGAGCTCGTCTTGTAGATAAAATTGGGAATTCAATGTTTTGTCAGAAATACCTCGTCCATTAGATTCGCTGAAATGTCCACTCTTTTAATATCTTCCATGTCGAGATATTTCGCTGGAATTACAAATATGGACACGATTAATATATATAGACACAAGCATTTCGTATGAGACAAGCGTATTTGATTAAGTCTTATCAAACATTATGTCAAGTCGAATGAGCTGATGTATATGCTTTAATTTTTAGTAGGTGCGGCATAGTATTTTATTTATGTTTTTTAACTATCGTAATTATATAATATCGAATCAATCTATTAATTTAAAATATTATCTAGTACTGTTAAGTATAATGTTTTATAATTAACAGGCAGAATCTTTTTGTAGATACGTGATATTACATTAAAGTATATCTTGTAAAACAACACGATTATATATCATTTAAAATGTCTTTTATTCAATACAACGATATATGTTAACATAATAATAATAGTTAGTGCGATTAAATTTTTCTAAAAACGAAAGGATAAATATAACATTCGAATAATGATTGTCGACAGGTGACCGCATCGGATGTTATCGGGCGACCGCCTTGGCGAATCGATAAATTCTCGAAGAGGAAACCGGAGAGAAATTAGATTGCCGTTTGATCGACCATTGTACACACGGCCACTCGATCCTCGGAGCTACCGAATCGCAGTGCGGTGTCTAATATAAGTCACTGTGCGAGCAGAAGGAAAGGAAGAAGTGCAAGTAAAAAAGCAGCAGAGACATGGCGCACGAAAACGGAATAAACGGCGGCGATACCGACTCGGAGTCGGTGGAGTTGAATCCTCTGAGGAGAACCAGATTCCACGTGAATCGGGTCGACAGTCTCGAAGGTCGGGCCAGTCTTCTGGGCGAGCAGGAGACCAAGAAGTCTCTCAGATATATGACCAGAGAGGCCCTGCCCAGGCTAGACAATTACAGGAACATCATGAGCATCCAGGCGGCCCACAGACCCTCCTTGGATGAGTTGCACAATCCCACTCTCCTCAACAAGGTGAGGCCTTAATGACTTCTCCGAAGGCAACATTGTTGCCGCGCGAATCGAACACTTTTTCATCATTGATACAATATGTTTTTGGCGTGCGAAAAGTTCGGTACGATATCCGGAATTTTCCTCTCGGCACAAAATTTCGGACGTAATTTTATATTATACAGTTTATATTATACAATCGCTACTTTGCTTTTTCATTTACACGCTCGATTGAATTTATCTCTACGCAAAAAAAAAATAAACATTTGCGAGTGTCATACAACACGCTGCAGTATAAAATGATTATGATATGGTCTAGAATTTTTATTTTGCGAGACGCTTTACACAATGACGACATAGCAAAGATTGCAAGAAATGTTAATATTCCATATGATTACGGTACAAGAATGAAGCGAAAAGTACGGGACATTGGCGATAAGCCGAAACTCAATAACGATAACGAATGACACATCGCGAGGAAAGTTCGCGTATTGCGTGTCGTGTTTATAATTGTTCGTTCATTAATGTGATTAAAATTGATAATTTTGTTTACGATAAAAATCTGCCAGGTCGACAGACATGCGAGTGTCGAGTTGCATAATGAGCTTCTCGGAAGGATAAAGTTCAGTCGTGAAGAGAGAAATGTTCAAACGTAAGAAAGCTTTACGTGTGGGAAGGGTTAAGCCGCGGCGCCGCGGTAAAAGGCAGATACACGCATGTACACGCATACGGGTGCGAGATAAATGTAAATCTATCAGTACACCGGTACGCATCGAGCAAATCCTTGAATAATACACGCGTTCTCGCGTGGCGGAGATGCGTCACACGTGTATTCTGACATTCACCCGCTTCTCAATTTTTCGCTCGTTATCTACGGCCCCGTTCTTTCGCGTAGAATGAATATCTAAAATTAAACAGGAATCTTACATGCGGGCTGTGTGTAATGTGTAGTATCTGCCGCCGTATGATTATAGCTCCACGCGTTTCTATGTATATGCTCCAGAAGATAGCCCAAGGAAGCGTACACGCTAGTAGCACGATCGGATTTCCTGTGTAATAAAATTTGATCTTTGCCTTATTAAATTATTTAAATTAATAATTTAAGAAAGATGCAGTTGCATGCGTAATAGTTACAAATTCATTTTAATTAATTTGTTTTTTAATTTTCTTTAAATATATTTCGGTCCAAGCTCTGCAGAAAGTGACTTCAGAGAAATAAAAACTTATTTATGTTTGTTTACGACTAAAAATTTTGCTATGTAAATAGAAATTTTGTTTTATCCGTTATCACCTCGGCTATCACTGATGTTATCACTGAGCTCTTTTTCTAGGATAGCGATCAGTATACAGCGCGTAATACGATAGCACGTGCGTGCCCCTTTGTTTTGCCAGCGTGGTCGACACACGGTATTAATTACGCTCGCTCGAATGATTCGTAAATCATCGCACAATTGCAGAGATTGTTAATTGTGCAATTAACTCGCCGTTGAACGCAAGCGTGGCGCCGAGATTCCGTCCCCGGCAAAAGTCAGGCGGAAAAGTTCTTCGATTTATTTTATCTGTCCGTTCGAGCGAGAATAGAAAACGCGATACCGCGAACGTAAATATGAAACGTACCACTGAATTTTTATTGCCTTATGTGATGATTCGTCGACAACGGCACGACTTTACGATGCCACGGAGCACCGTTATCAAGCGGTGTAACACCGGTGTAACGCGACGTCAAATATTTGCAGTGACTACTTTCGAGCACGTAGTTTGTATTTTTAGGAGTATTGTTCCAGATATACGACACACGGATGTTGCACTAATTGCAATTGCACAATGATGACTGAAATTAAACAAGTCTAATCTCTAATTTAGTATTAATTACGTATCTTCTTTCTTGTAATTTATTATTGGAAATAATATTTTTTTACAAGCATTATTTACGTGACAAATATTCATAGAATTATTAATGGTTAAAATCTATGGTTCTCTGTTTCTCAATAACTTATTAATTTTTTTCATGTAATTTGGATGTTTAGTTTTACGTCACTTACAATTGGATGGAGAGTCTTGTCCTAATTCGGAATGTCATCATCGATGTAGCAATGATTGCAATCATACATGTATTGCATTTTCAAGCGAATTAACGCGGGTAGAGAAGATGACTCAGTTAGATTCATTACGCGCAACATTCTTTTTGTGCTATGAATCAGTCTGGTACGCCCAAAAACGTTATCCAAGCGTGAAGCGAATGCCAATTGTCCTTGTGATACTTCAGATACGAACGTATATCGTACAGTCGGGTTTGGTAATGCTGCCCATTTCCGCTGGGCAATGCCCGTAAGAATTTTTATTTGCTCAGCAATTTTAAAATTCTTGCAAGGCAAAAATAATGCAGACTTTTATCTATCTAACGTTTTGCATGCGATAAATATTTGCACTGTTGCGAAAAATAATACGGTTCCATCATACATATTACTTTTTAAATTCCAAAAGGACACTGCACTTTTGTCTTTTAAAATAATTAACGCTCTTGCAATTGTAAGTTGGAGAGATTTACATGTCGCGCAATTAGTAAAAAAAATATACAGGCTGCTCGGTACAATAAATTCAATCAAATAGGACGATGAACATAAAGGATTTCTTTACTGTCAATATTTTATAGATTATAAAAAGCTATTTAGACAGTTCATACGAGAAGAGACTCACGACTAAAGAGAAAGGGGATAAAACTACACGATTGACCGCTTACGTGAAGGAATGACATGATTGCATACTGGGTCACGGAGAATAAGTATATATGTATTTAAACAAATTCAGAAAAAACGTCACGTAGGCCATGGCTTACACTCTGCATGGCATAAATATTAACGAACCGTCTTGTGCCAGTAAGAAACTAATCGGAAAACACTCACACGCGCGAACTCTAAAATGTTACGAAATATATTTTGGAATCTATTGAAGAAATCAATATATTTTATTAATAAAAAATGCATTCTAATATAACGAAAAAATATCAACAGACATTAAAAAGATATTTAGAAGTGTAATTCAGAGTGTACTATAAATAATAACTGAAAAATATGTATATAATATTAGCGTAAATTGCGAAAATAGCGAAAAAATTTTCGATAGCGGATATGCTTGCAATGGACAGATAATAAATAAAATAATACATGTACATTACAACACACTGTGACGCAATGCGAGAAGTATATGGAAAATGTCGAGTTCAACGTGTTAAGTTGAATTATCTATGCAACAGATGTTGCGCCGTTAGTCACGCTTCGTTAATGCGAGCGAGGAAGTTTTTCAGACGTGGATTACAGAGTACACGTTGCAATACAGTATACATGTGACTCGCCGCGGTACATAACTGTTGGGTCAAAACTGAGGACCCGTCACGTTCGCTCGGGCAATTAAAGCCCGCCGCTCGAGATGATGACAAATACCCCAATCAGCTCGCCACGCGCTCAAGACGACGTAATTCCCGTCCGAGGAATCAATCCCTACGAAAGATCCAGAATTGTGACACTTGGAGGATCAAATGGACCCATTTGTCACGTGCTACGTTGATAAATATCGCGATAATTAGATAAACGAATTTATGTCACGAGTTCTCGTCGTAACTGGACTGTTAATAATTGAGCGACATGTCTCTCACATGTCTTGTCATGTGACTCACTTTTTCGGGTCAGGCTGATGTAGTTAATTGGCTGTAATTAGCGATTTTCTACTTCTATTTGGATCGTAGCTCTATGCGATACAAATAAGAGAAGTTGATTACCTGCACTAGAGTATTAATGGCCATTGTTATACTGGGTTTAAGTGTTAATTACATTTGAAAAGATAGCGAGACAAATTTAACAGATTCACAATAAAGAAATACCTTCGCAAACATTTACAGACACATTTCCATAAAAAGAAACGTTATATTTTGATAAGAATCTGATGTAAATTGAACCAAATGGATCTGTATCTATGTCCTGCACTCAACGGGATATACATTTGTCTTAATGTCAATATCGTTTACCGCTATTTACACGCGAGATTGATTCTTAATACACTACTATATCGATAGCGTGACATGTTATGTTGAGTTGGCATATTGTAAAAGAAAAATTTAAATTTAATCCCGTGATACCTATCATTATAAAAAATTTCCGGAATTGCAAGTAATTATAATTACTAAATGAGAATAGTGCAAAAAGTTTCAATGACTACATTTCGCGATCGCAATTGACAGATCGGCTGTCAGTCAAAATTAGATCTATCACGCGAGGTGGATTTCCGTTCAAATCTTTAAAGATTGTTTCTTATGCTTTACGTAAAATTGATGCAACATAAAGAGGATACATCAGATATAGAAGTTATGCTGTCAAATATTTTTTTTTAGAATTCTCTGTTACTCACATGGTTTTGCGAACGACTTGAACGATTGAATCGTACGTTTACACTTGTAGCTCGATGTGGCAGTGTCAATGGGCACAGTAAAAAGCGTACTCCGAATAAATCACGAGCCTCTGACAGATAAGCGTGTTACATTATTTGAATACGCTCGTGGCATATCGTAGTGGAAGATATGAGCATATCGCGAGGAGCATATGTATGAAAGAAGGCTTACTGTATAGAGGGTCTTTATTCTTTCTCTGTGTCGTACACCGTCGTAAACCATTTATGCTCCTTGTGTGCGTACGATACGTACGATGTACATGTAAATGCTTGATTGAAAAGTTTCGGGTTTAGTCTTTGCAATTTTCGATCGACTGTACTCTAAGGGTTTCAAGAATTAGTAAATTAAATTTACAGCAGTTTCCTGTGAAATTACTGAAAACACGAAAAGATAAATTTTCAAGAAACCTTGATGAAACTAATAATTATTTGCGATAATTCATGTAGTAAAACTTTCACGTGGAAAGATATTGACTTAATTTATTGATAAGAAGATTCTCTTTTACTATTGCTGTTTTTAAAAGTTTGTCTATTTTTTAAATAGTGTTATATATTTTTTACAAGTTTTTACGATAGGAATAAAAAGATAAATTTTTTGTAATATAATAGATGTTTAAATAAGAGAAGGGTCGACTTATAGCAGAAGAATTAAGAAATTCGGCAATTTAAAATGCAGAAAATGAAGTAGAAAGACAAAATTGTGAAGTTGATTTTATGGAGATGTGCAAGGATAATTTTACACGATAATACCGGAGCTCAATGCAAGGATATTCGAGGATGTAATGGAAAATCACGGAATGGATTAATCTGAGATAGAGAGAGTTCTACATAAGCCTTCAAGAGAACAAGTTGCAATCCAATCAAAATCGAATTGACAACAATTGATCCAGTCCTTGTTATTAATCACTCATCTGATGATGTAAATTATTATACACAAACGATTCTCTACAGCATCTATTCTCTACAGCAACCACGTTTGCGTTGATATTTTAAAAGTTTCGATTTAACTCTTCGATTACTCATTCGTTTCCGAGGCTTCTGTAAATGTTTCAGCAAAGCTCGTTCCGTCCGGAAGTCATTAATCATCGATAACGATTGTTGGTGCTTTTAAACATACGTTATAAGACAAGAAGATGACGACTTAAACGTTTTTCAGACACGATGTCTCAGGGATATTTCCAATTTCTTTCTAATTGAGCAATCCTACGTGCAATTCGCGAAAAGTTCCGCGACACCAGACATCGCTGTACCGTTGCCGGTTACACGAGGCTCGGTTACGTAAATCGTTAAGACTTCATTGGCCGAGTGGCGGACCCTTCCTCGAGATCGGAGTCACCTTCAATGCCTTCGATAATCGCCTCTGAATCTCAATTTACGCGCTAATCCGCTCGCCGCGGATCTTACCGGCCAGCTGCTCGGTAAGACGTGAAATCGCCGCCTCGACATCTGTAAGAAATCGTTTGGATTCATTTAGAGAGCTGACCTTGAAGCTTCTCGGTACGTCGATTATCCCATCGGATTGATGAAGACATTATCTCAACGACACGGAGCATAATTACGAACCGGTCGTATCCTTTATAGGCGCGATTACGCGATACGCGATGTGCATGGAAAAGCAGTCGACTCTGATGGCATACGAAATTGCAACGCTTTGAAAAAACTCTTTCTGAAGAGATTTTGCTAATTTCTTTTTTTTTTTTTTAATTTTTTTTTAGCAACTTTAAATCTCGCATAGTTACATGTTCTCACGATGCGCGTGAACGCGGAACGGCAATCCGCAGATCTGCTGACAATGCAGCGGAATAGAGTAGAATAATAGATATGCAGAAATAAAGGACAATGCAATGTGGAAAAGAGGAGATTAAAATGTAGGATAACTATTGCAGATGCGATATAAAAAATGTGATAAATGATGCATTCTTGAAATTAAATGAGAATTACAAGAAAATATTACATTAAAACCGGATAAGAATTAAATAAAAATCTGATCAAAATTAAATAAAAATTAAACGAATATATATGAAAACAACTTCTACTGATATTGCAAAATCGATACAAAAAATTATCTCTTATATTTCTGTAAATTTATAAGCGTCAACTTTTTCAACGTTTTACTTTGTTTATCTCTATACTATTTCTGGGATAAGATTGGTCCTCAGAACATTCAGTTTATCGAACGATTTATTTTCAGGGTTCGGGCTCGCATACGTTAACTGTTCCGCAACTGAAATCCATGGCGCCAGGAGTGAAATTCGGATGGATCCAAGGAGTCCTGATGCGATGTCTCCTCAACATCTGGGGGGTAATGCTTTTTCTGCGACTCTCCTGGGTCGTAGCACAGACCGGAATAGGTGAGTGTCTTATCGTTGAATCATCCTTTCGATTCATTCGATTCTTGAGACTTTAATGTCGTCGATATTGTTTCAGGCCAGGCTATTTTGTTGATTCTCACGACGACAGTAGTCACGACGATCACATCTTTGTCGATGTCGGCGATCAGCACCAACGGTCTCATCAAAGGAGGTAAATAGCCTTATCAAAGAAGCGTTAAATAACGGAACAATAAATATCTACTACATTGGAAATGAAAGAAGAATGAACAAAAAAATTATTTTTTATAATTTGAGGAGAACTCACATATTTAATTTAAGTCTGACAGAGAATTAAATTAATTTAATTATCTCACTGCAATATATTCTTTATCGTTGTTTAAAGGTGATTAAAGTCAACGATCGCCTTCTTATCGAATTTTTTTATACGACTGATAATGTTACATATACTAGACTAAATATTTTCGTAATTATTTGCATATGTGCAAACTGTCTCGACAAATTATTGTATCGATGCAATGGCAACACGGTTAATCGAAACTTGTATATTTCTCCTTTTACAGGTGGAACCTATTACATGATTTCCAGATCCCTGGGACCTGAGTTCGGTGGATCTATAGGTCTTATATTTTCCTTGGCAAATGCTGTCGCTTGTTCCATGTATGTAGTTGGTTTTTGCGAGAGCTTGGTGGACTGCCTCCGTCCTTTCGACGCCTGCATAATCGATTGTGCAACCGCAGACATCAGGATCATAGGTATGTAAGCGTTCGATTGAACTTTATGGCGCTTTTAATCCCCGTTCTAAAGTCATGTCGAGCGCGACACAAATTAAATTTGCATTGGATTTGCAGGCAGCATAACAATAGTTGTACTTCTGATAATCGTTATAATCGGCATGGAATGGGAAGCAAAAGCCCAAATATTGTTGCTGATAATTCTCCTTGTGGCTATTGGCGATTTCATTATTGGCACCTTTGTGGGCCCCAAGAGCGAGACGGAGAGGGCTAAAGGATTCATTGGATATAACGGTAACGTCGCGTCAACATTTTTTTTACGCGTATTTCCGGCATTACTATCTTACAAATCTATCGTAATTAACAGATATAATTATTAATTTTGTCGTTTATTTTTAATTTACAGCTAAGCTGTTCAAGGAAAATTTATATCCGAACTATAGAAGCCACGAAGGCGTGAAACATAATTTCTTTTCAGTCTTGGCCATTTTTTTCCCCGCGGCAACAGGTATCCTGGCAGGTGCGAATATATCTGGTGACTTGAAGGTGATTTAGTCCTTTCGTCTATGGAGATATTTATAGTTAATGCTTGACTCATGATGTAATTTATGCATCTATTTTATTATTCATTAGTGTTTGCATATTCGATTAAAGTTATCTTCTATACTGTGATAAATTGTTTTTTCTGTAGATAAATGATAAAAAAATTCGTTTTTTAATCATGATTATTGCTGAAATCAGCGAGTATTTTTTGTGATGTCAACACGGAAGTTTCGTGCCATTTTTAAATTTCTTATCTTGAATTTGACAGGATCCGCAAACAGCCATACCGAAAGGCACGCTACTCGCGATTCTCTTGACGTCGTTGTCATACTTAATGATGGCAATTATGGTCGGCGGTACCGTTATGCGAGACGCGTCCGGCAACGTTACTGATTTATGGACGACGTACAATAGCTCTCTTTTGGCCCTGTCAATGCTCGGCGCAGACAATGACACTGAGATTGAAAACAGTACAGTTATCGAAAATATCACTCGCAGTTGGAGTGTATATGGAACGGATTTTAACTGCACCGCAGGATGCAAGTATGGCAGCCACAACAGCTTCGAGGTGCATAAAATTATTAATACAATTCACAAATAAGACTGATCTCTGAAGATATTAATTAAATAAAAATGAGAATCACTTTTTAAACTAAAATAAATAATTGCTAATATTTAAGGAACTGTAGTAATAAAATTATCAATTATTATGAAATGTTAGATGCAAAAATCAAAATAGACAAGTGACATTGTCAACTATTCGTAGGTGATCCAATTAGTTTCTGGTTTTGGACCTATTATCTATGCCGGCTGCTTCGCGGCGACGATTTCAAGTGCCTTAGCATCGCTGGTCTCAGCACCGAAAGTATTTCAAGCTCTCTGTCTTGACAAATTATATCCAGGAATTTCGTGGTTTAGTGGAGAAAAAGATAAGGAGCCGATTCGCGGTTATTTACTAACTTTCATTATCGCCGTCGCTTTTATTTTGATCGGTGAGTAGTAATTCTACAATACCGAATTTTCACCGAAAAATTTATTTCAGAAACGAATACATCATTTTTTTATTTTTTTCAGGTGAGTTAAACGCGATCGCGCCGCTAATTTCAAACTTCTTCTTGGCTGCCTACACTCTTATCAATTTCAGTACGTTTCATGCTTCCTTGGCTAAGCCAATCGGATGGCGACCAACCTTTAAGGTATTTTAGCGTAAAAATATAACATTTTTACGGCGTTATTATACTTTTTGTTATTTTAGTAATAATATTCTGTTCTTTTTTTAGTATTACAATATGTGGCTCAGTCTCGCTGGTGCTATCCTTTGCGTTTCTGTGATGTTTCTGATCTCATGGTGGACGGCTCTAATAACATTATGCGCAGTCTTAGCACTGTATTTAGTAGTCTCATACAGAAAACCTGGTAATTTCACACAACAGAAATTTATTTAAGCACTGTTTTTTCCCGCACTGTGTTCTTTACGAAAACATATTACAGATGTAAATTGGGGCTCGACCACACAAGCCCAGACTTACAATAACGCGCTGACCGCTGTACAGCAATTGGATCGGGTGGAAGAGCACGTGAAAAATTACAGACCGCAACTCTTGGTTCTTACTGGCGCGCCTAACGTGAGATCGTCCCTCGTCGACTTCGCTCATCATATTACTAAACATCAGAGTTTATTTATTTGCGGCCATATTATTGAGGTATCGTCTATTTCCATTCCTATCGACTTTATGTGCCCATTTGACAGATAATATATCTTGTATTCGTGTGTTTTAGACACCCATATCATACAAAACGCGGAACAGTATGATGCAGAACTGTCCTTCCTGGCTTAGGGCAAACAAGATCAAGGCGTTTTACTCGCTAGTGGACAACTCGAATTTCCAAGACGGTGCTACTTCGCTCTTACAAGCCGCTGGACTTGGGAAAATGAGGCCCAATATCCTGCTAATGGGTTACAAGCAAGATTGGGCCACCTGTCAGCGGGAAAATCTGAATATGTACTTCAACGTCATGCAGTAAGTCTTCGTGTGTCACATTTTAATTAACTTGCAATTTCGTAGAGAGATTAATTTGGTAATCTTTTTTTGTACTTTGCAGCAAGGCTCTAGATATGCATATAGCAGTGGCGCTTCTTCGGCTTCAGGAAGGCTTGGATTGTAGTGCGGTTGTCGGTGATGTCGAAGATCCAAGGAGACTCTCACCTACTTCGATACCGGGCAATCAGAGTTTCTCGCAGCTTAGTCAAGGTTTTAAAAAAGCTTATATTTTCTTGTTCTTTTATATATATCTAATGTATCTAATATACTTTATGTATATAGCTATATTTAATGATAAATTATTGTTGCAGCTAGCAGCACGTCTGACATATCGATCCCTGGAAGTCCCGCGCCGAGACGTTCGAAAACAATTAACGAATATCCCAATCCGTCTTCTGAAGAGCAGCGCGAAAATCGACCAAATATAGTACCAATTACGAATATACTTAATGTAATAACAAAGTTTCAACGGAAGCATAAAAAGGGTACTATCGATGTATGGTGGCTTTACGATGACGGTGGCTTAACGCTTTTATTACCTTATATTATCAGCACGAGGCGTAATTGGTCTAACAGCAAATTGAGAGTATTTGCACTTGCTAACAAGCACTCTGAACTGGAGTATGAGCAAAGGAGGTAAACATTTTTGATGATGACTTCTAGGAATAATCGCGCGGAATAATCCTTTCGATTAATATTAATTTTTTGTAGTGTGGCAAGTCTCCTGTCGAAATTCCGGATAGACTATTCCGCCTTAAAAGTCATATCGGATATCTCGAAGCCAGCACAAGCCAGTACAAAGACGTTCTTTGACTCGTTAATAGCTGACTTTCAGGAAACAGCCGATTCGAAAAATTCCGATGACGGTATGAATAATTTCTTTATGAGTTTATTCTATGAATAGGATAAAATAAAATAGAACCAACTATATAATATATTGCTGTTAGGCTCTTGTCAGTGTATGTAACAATTTCATCTTTTCATTTTAGATGTTATTAAAGATTCGGAACTTATGGCGATGAAAGAAAAGACCAATAGACATCTCCGTTTGCGCGAATTATTACTTGAAAATTCCATGGAAGCCAATTTAGTCGTTATGTAAGTATTTATGTCGTGAATTTTATCGTATACTGTTTATATAAACACTTAACTATTAACTTTATTATATATTGTTTTCAATAATTGATTTTTTTTGTAGGACACTACCGATGCCTCGGAAAGGTGCTGTATCAGCGCCTCTTTACATGGCGTGGCTAGAAACACTTACACGTGACATGCCACCGTTTTTACTGGTTCGGGGTAATCATACATCGGTTTTAACGTTTTATTCATAATATTAATGTGAAACCGATTGACGAGACGTTTTATACGCAAAGATGTAGAACGTCACAACAAGTCACAATAGCGATATCGCAGTATTATAAGCGAAAAGAAAGACTTAATCATTTATATATGCAGAAAAAAATTGATTCGACCATGGCAGAACGAAACATCCAGTGATATATATATGTAATAGTGACAAGCTATAATGACAAGTATGCCTTTATTATAATGTGTGGGAAAATGCGTTTGTGAATGAACCACTATTGAAGAATGTGCCTATAATAAGCAATCTCTTGAAAATGTTCAGTCATGTAGTGAGACTGTATTTTTTTTTACATGACTGAAATATTTCTCGATTCCGAAAAATCTCGACAGTCTCTCTTTAGATGTAAAAAAAGATCAATCATATATTATAAATATTTAAAGTAAAGTGACAATCATAATTCATAGCATTATTTTATCGTTTGTCAAGCAAACTTTTTGTGCCTTATCTTAAATAACGCTGTGTTTTATATGCAGAAGTATTCAAAACAATTTCGGAAATGTTGGTATTGGGGAATTTAGAAAATTGCACCTTATATATTTAAGAAGGCCAACTATCTTTTTATAAAAACTTTTATATTTCTATATATATTGAACTTATAAATTTTTGACAATCTTTGAATACAGAACACAATTGTAATAAATTTTGTAAATACTACACAACTCTCTAATTGCATTAAAAGTTTTGCTTATTTTTATATGTGTGTTTTATAATCTCGATATAATACTTATAAAAGCACGAAGTTCCGTCATGAAAAATAGTATAAAGAGTAAACGCCAATGTTTAAAATAAAGTAATCGTATATAAAAGTTGTAAAAACATTACAGACGTATAGACCTACTATAAGATAAATTAAACGTTATTGTAGTACAAAATGCTAAACTGTCATAGCGACACTTACAGTGTCAAAGTATATCTCAATTCTATTTCATATCTCTCATCGCGATACTATCAGGGCATCGCCATCTAAGAATGTTTCAAGTATGTTGCACAATGTTTCATATATATGTACTAAGTTTTATACAGAAATTTTATATCGATTTCTGTTTAAACTTTTAATTACGTAACTTCGTTATAACGTAACAACTATCAGTGCTTTTACATTATCGATAACTTTGCGATACATCATTAGATGATACAGAGATATTTATTTGAATGCTTCGATGTGAACACGTTTCAGACTAGTTGCGAATGCATTGCAGGAGTCAGAATACTGATAATACATTATAATATTCTTCCTAATTGCGTAAGCTTTGCAAATTACAAAATGATCTATCGTTGCGCGTGTATGTAGACGTTGGTGCAGTCTTAATTATAATTTGAATTACAGATTAATTGTCATACAATTCCATATCGTAATAAAAGTCAATATTCCAACCCTTCTATATGTATATATAATGTGTGTGTATATATATATATATATAAAATCGAATTTTTGTGCCATATTGTGTTTACGTGCCATATCTGTTAAGATCCTGTCGAGAACTATGAGATGTAAATGTAGCCTTATTCTATAATGACTATAATATATTTTTTGGAATATTGTAGGAAAAAAGATGGATAAAGTAAACAATAAATAAAAGAAAAAACGCACAAAAATACTTAGTCATCTAAATAAAAAATCTATAGCTGCAGCTGGAAAGGAAAGTTATATCGTTATATATGTAAACGAAAAGTTTAAATAAATGACAAGAATAGAGAGATTATCTTGCAAAAAAAGCATAAACATAAATAATTAATATAAAATTAGAATATATTACTTTTCTAAATATATAAAAATTATATAGATGCGTATATAAATCTTTTCAAATAATCTTTCTCTTTTACAAGATATAAAATGATACTAACTTTTTAAATTAAATAAAAAAATACTTATTAAAATGTCAGGATGACGAATCGTCATTGTCATGCATTGCATCGTATTTCTCCGCAGATTTAGTTCGAGAAAAGAAAACTGAGATTTCTGTTTCGTGTTCGCGGATAGCACGGGTGGCATAGTTTGCGATTACATCGCAGGATAGATCTTATTCTTTTTTCATATTTAAATGCTACGAATGTGACGCGGTCTGCGCACCAACAAGCAACAGGAGGACAAACCGGAGCTAACTTTTGCCAATTCGGACAAACGCAGCGATCTAGTCGGGAACTCCACCTTTTCGGCGAACACCTTACTCGATTGTGGGATCTCGTCTTCTGACCGATGAATGAGCGTGCCGTTCACGTAGAGCACGTTGGCGGCTACATCCTCGGGCACGGTCAATGTTTGGTAACTGTACGTTGCCTCCCGCTCGATTCTCTACATCATAAATGAGAGAAATAAAAATCGAAACTTTTTTGCAATTAAATTTAATTTAAAAAAAACTTTATTAAAAAAAAATGGAAAGCAATATTCGTCGTGTAGCGAGAGTCTGAATGAAAGTTTGTTGCAAATGGCAAAATTTTCGAATAATGTAAAAAATGACTCAGTTTGTATTAATTAAGACTAACCTTGAGTACTTCCTGAGATTCTTTTCCAGCCCCTACGCATATAACATCTGGACCAGCCATTGTAACCAACGATTTTAGGCGTTTAGATTCAGCCACCTAAGCAGAGAAATATTGAATTATTATCTAAAAAATTATGGGAGAAATTAAACAAGTATTGTAGTATTGCAATGCACTATATAATCACAGTGTGTACAAATCTTTTTATCATTTATTTCATATATCATGTTCTTAATTCATTATCATATTATATGAGTAAACTAGAGAATTATATTATATCAACGAAAACTACACACTATTTTATCAATCAAATTTCTCTTTTTCTTTCTTTTTATAAGTTATATTTTTATAAATTTCTTTCCAAAATACTTGATATATATTTATTATAATCTTAATGCGTTATAGTGTGTATGATAATTTTTAATGTGCCAGCAAATCGTGCACAGTGTTTTGTGTAATGTATAGTAAAAATATAAATATATTCTTTGAAAAGTGCATACACACTAAATTCATAATATTTGTACAATGATTGGAACAAAATGAGTAATCTTTAAATATTTCGCTTAAAGTTAAATGCTTAAATCATATGCATGCTAAGGTGAGTGAGTAATATTCGTGGTATTGTTCAAGTGCACGATTCAAGTGCCAAGCCGGAACTTGTGTAACTTGTCACAACTCCAAAGCGATTCATAAAATTCCGAAATTATTACATACGAAAAGAACTTTCTCAAAAATCGTGCAAGTTTGCGTTTCTAGCCTGTGAAATTATTCATTTTCTTTGTTTTCTTTTTTTTTTTAATTCTTTCTTTAATGACATATTAAGAAGGGTCAGTTTAGTGCACCCAAACCTGAAGAGGGGCTGAGGTAAGACTCTCCACTATCACCTCTTCGCCACCATCACCCACCTTAAATGAACATTAGAAAAGTAAGGTGAGTGAGTATGATATTCTTGCGTCAAAGTTTGATGCAAATCCGCAAGGCATATATTATTATACCTTCTATAAATATACAATGTGTGCTGTGAATAAACACAAATTTTCGTTGTTACTCATGGATCGAAACATGCGTTAATATTACATATAGAGTGCTTCATTTTAAGAGGAATTTACTTTCAGAAATTCAACACAAGCAATAAAAGAAAGTTGATACAATAAATATAGCAATCGCATCTTGATATTAATCTAGTGGCTTCCAATAATAATGAAACACTCTATCCTGTAGTTAAGATATAAGATATAAAATGCTTTCAGAAATAGACACAGAGATTAACAAGGTAACAAGGTATTACTAATATTTGACAAATCTTATAAAAAAAATATTTGTAATAAATGTAGGTACATAGGTATAGAAGATTATAGATAAAATATCTTCCCTTTTTCAATTTCGACACATATATAAGTTCTAATAGCACACGCATACATGTCTTTGTGACTCTAACATCAAATCTAATGAGTTGAATCTAATGAGCATGCGATGTTCAGTAGATAACGAGAAATTTGTGATTGTTTTATGTTTAAAATGAGATATTAATAATTCTTAAATGTCAGATGATACGAATGCGTTGATCTACAAAATTACCGACCTTGATAGGTACGCATGGATATTCTGGAAATGCCACAGCAACCGCTCGTGCTCCTGCTTCATTCGTAAAATGAGACAGCCCGACAAAGAATTCTCTACCTACAAGATATTTTCATACCAGTAAATGTAAAAGTTTAAAAGATTTCTGGTATTTATATGCATTTAAAGGCACATGTAATATCAAGGCAAATATTAAATACACAAAATAGAATTTACCGGTGAAAAGCACATCTCCACCATCCAAGCGGGCATTCTTGTCGCTTATTTCTATTAGTGGTATCTCTAGCTCTTTCTTCAACACAGCTCTGATGGTATCGAGCTGAAAGAAAGACAAAACAGTATAATTATAAAACAAACAGTAAAGAAGCCAGATTTAAATTAATTATTACAGTCATCAATATTAACTCAGTTTTTTGCATTAAAAATCTGAGCATCTCTTTCTCTATAACGACTGTAATCAACATTTTTATGTTTTATCAATTCTTTTATTCTCCTGTCATAAACTCAAACAGTCAGTACATAATATCTTGGACAAGGTACCTCTTTGAGGCGAGACGGCTCGCTCGGGTGGGCGATCAGGGCGATGCCGTTGCAGACGACGGCGATGTCCTCGACGAAGACGCAGAGCGGCGAGTTTTCGTCGGGCGGCATCTCGATGACGTCGATGTCGAGCTCGCGGAGAAGCTGCGCCAGGGCCAGGTGCTGCGTCCTGGCCTCGTCCAGCGTCAATTCGCCCCGCGTGCGCAGCGACAACGGGATCCTGCAGAGGATCGCGTGCGTATACCGGTGCAGCGGCATTGCTCGAGGTTCTCGTCGTTCTCGGTTCTCTTGCCGACGAGCAGGAGCACGTAAACGCACGTCGCGCGCCCGGGATTTGACGTTCAACGCGAAATGACGGGTCGACCCGGTCGACGAGCGCGGAGAGCGGGAGCGGGCCTGCCAGCCGCGAGAGCCGCTAGGAATTTCGCAGAGCAATGCGTCGCTAGGAAGTTCTATAACGACTTCCTCGCGCGATGAAAGATGAGAGTATACAATCTGACAATAGCGGCGCGTAAATTGATTTATAAGGCGCTCACGAAGATGACGTGACACTGATTTTTCTCAATTATTAATTAATATTAATAATTGCGCGCCGTATAATAATTAAAGTGGAGATGGGAAATAACTGGTGCGAGTGTAATCCGTACGGAGTAGCGGAGATGTGGAATGTGCGTCGACTCCGTGAGCTCTCCGAGTCCGAGAAATCGTCACAGTTACTAGAAAAGCATACTATGGCAGGAGGTGTTAAGAGGCAGCGAGGTTAGAATACGCATCTCTTGGGAGCTACGAAAATCGTCGGAGTTATCAGGAGACCACATTTGCGAGGAAGTAAGCGGTAAACTCCGGGTAGGCAGGGCGGGACTTGAAATTCCCTCTCTACGCGTCCGCGCGGTCATTGGTCGGGCTTAGGAGGGGGTTACCATGGAGACCGCAAGCGGCCATTACTTCGGCGCTTTCATGGGCGGGGCAGGATGGAAGGGGGTTGCGGTTGCTATAGCGCGCTGATTGGCCGTGGGGAGGTGAGAGCTCCAGCTATTCCGAATACCTACTTGCTCAACATGCATTCCTGATACCTCCTGATATTTTTCGAAGCTCTCGTGAGACGCGACGTTTCAACGTCGCCATCTCCTAAAACTTTCTGCCGCAACATGCTCTCCGCGTAATTCTGACGATTTTTCGAAGCTTTCGAGAGACGCATCTTCCGACTCGCGTCACTTTTTCTCTGTTCATGTTCCTCGAATAATTTTCGTGCAAGCAGGACGCGGTAATTATTACTACGCGAAAATAAAAAAAATCGTGATAACTAATTAACTTTTTCTCTTCTGACTCAAAATGGCGTTTATTTTAAGGGAAAAAATATTTTCTTTAATTATTTTTCTATTTTCACGAACAATTTACAAAAATCTATAATCTTTGATATTATTAGATCACGGACGATTTCGCTCAAACGGATTAACTTAATTAATGATTTTTAATTAGTCAATGAATTTAACTGGTAAAATCGCTCACAGCAAAATTTCCAGTATGTATATGTTGTTGTCTTGATATTTAATCTTTCTTTCTGATGTCAGAAAATAAAACTTTAACGTTTCCATGTTAACAAAATGCTACACGTATTATTTGATAAGTTAATTGCCTTAATTAAGTAATAATCAGAAATTTGTTCTAATTTTATCTTTTTAATGCAGTTTAATGACTCGATATATGTAAAACTCATTAAATGTTTTTCAAATGTTGACTAATGCATATGAGGAGAGGTCAAGGATCGCCCTTTTTCAATCAAGCGCAATTACGCTAATTTTCAGTACGAGACCAATTATGTGCTTTCGTCCGTGAATTCGTATGCCTCTACGATTGCGTCAGGTCGCAATTTTAGCGCAAAAGGAGTCTTCGGGATCTTCGGGTAATTCGAGCAATTTAATTAATGCAATTTTATTTTTTGACTGCTGTCCTTTTCTTTTCAATTTTAAACAGCATTCATAAAAAGAATTTTATTATAATCAATATATGTACATACGTATATATAGTATACAATTATTACAGCCTGCGTTATAAAAGAGGATAGTATAGACTTGGAATTGGCGGAATTGGCTAATGAACGCGCTAGCGTACCCTGGCGTACCCTAACCTCAAAGGTTGACGCAAACGCTTCGTGGGCGTCCGCCTCTACCGAATAATGAAGCTTTATTTGCGTGTTTGTTAACTTCGTAATGACGCGAGAGCTCATCGAGCCGTGATGACCCGCATGTAAGTCCGTCATCGGGAATCGCCGTTCCAGCATGATCAGAATATCCCGAGCTGTCAAACGCTCGACGCAGGAGCTCGACGCCGGGACGTTGTGAGAACACACAGAATAAATAAGATGAGACCGCGTCGCGTGCCATAATAATGCGCCTCCGATTCGTCAGGGCGGTCCTGGTTCTCGCGCTGCTAGGCAACATCATCGTCTGGCACAGGATATGGCGGCTGTTCGCGGCGCAAAACACCCTGGGCCTGCTGACGCCGAGCGTCGCGACGAACGAGCCCCCGCAGAAGTTCCACCGGCGTCTGGCCCGCCTGGTCACCATCGTCATCAGGCAGTTCGAAAATTTCGAAAACGATGTGGCGTCCATGGTGGAGTCAGTTTTGAATTCCTTCCCAGAGATACCCGTCTTGATAATCTGCGATGAACTGCCGTACCCGCCGCTGGAGCTGGACTTTACAAACGAGAGTATGAGGAACGTCAAGCTGATCAGCTTACAGCCCGAATTCAATAAGTCTTTCGAGGAGAGAAATCCGCTCTTCTACATACGTACCAAATTTGTTCTGTTCTTACCGGACGCAACAAGATTGTCCACTAAGCAAGTTATACAGGTAAACTTTTTGTTGCGATATGAGAAGATATATGTTTTATCTCGCACAACAAGATATTTTCAGGATTTTATTCATTAATTTCTTTGATGTATACCTTGCAGGAGACTGTCTCGCAAGTGTCAAATTTAGGGATAGTTATTGTACCAGTGGGAAAGATGGTTCTACATTGTCTTGAATTAGATTTAAAAGTGAGAGAATGGAGCTTGAGGATAGCGCGAATTACGGGAACAGTATGTGATAGTGTAACGGGCAAACACGTAACTATGCTTGAGGCAAAAATTTTGAGAAGGCTGTCAGATCCATTCCTGCTGCCCTTTACGGATGCATTGTACATTCAGACCACAGCTATCGGTGCAAAGGTAATTCAGTTTATTTAATTTAAGATATTTATTACTTTTTGGTTTGTTTCTCTTGTAAATATAAATTATTGATCCGTCGCCTCTCTATGTGGCAATGATATAGTTCTGTTATTTACTTATAATTGGATTTATAAAATTAAATATAAATGTGCGGACATTATTATATTTACACGAGAGAGGATATATTTTGTGATTAGTTTGTGAATATTTTATTTTACAGTTTTGTGTTTTTGTGTCAGTGATCATTAACATATAGATTTATGTTTAAATTTTTTGTGTTTAAATCTTTTAATTTGGTGAGTACTTCCTATTCATTGTGTAGTTCCTTTAAGAATTATTATTATTTTTATTTTTCTGTCAGGAAAAGATTCAAATTGTTTATTGTAAAGTAAAAATGTTCAAATACACTAATGTTTCTTGTAATATGTGTTGTTAGATACATATACTGAAAAGCTACCAGTTCAACGAGGGAAAACCATTGTACAGAAACCAACAAGCACAAGCCAAGATGCAGCAATTTTATCGCACGCGAGAGCGATTGATGTTCGAGAAATTGGGGATAAAGAAAGTTACAAGGGCTTCTGGTTCTGTGGAGTGGTACGGTTGTTCGCGGGAAACCGCGAGATGTTTCGGCTCAGTAATAAACGGTATACCGTCATATCTCTATCAGCATCGATATACGCCGCCTTGTTGTTTGGCCGGATTGAGAAAAGTCGCTCACCACGTTATTGACAAACTGGAGGAGGTCGGCATACGGTTCTGGTTAGAGGGTCAGTCGCTGTTGGGAGCGATGAGACACAGCGATATTCTACCGTGGGATCACGAGGTACAAATCGGATTGAACAGAGACGATCTGGCGAGATCGCCGTGGCTGGTCAGGGCCAGAAGCAAGCCGGTCGTCGACGATGACGGTTTCATTTGGGAGAAGGCGACGGAGGGCGAGTTCTTCAAGGTACAGTACTCCCGGGTCAACCGTTTGTATGTGAATCTACTACCATTCTACACGCGCAATGGATCCATGACAAAGGACGCGTGGTTCCTGAAAAACCGGGACTTCCCAGAGCACTTTCTTCATCCGATGTCGAGCATCGAGTTCGCTGGTAGACAAGTGCCATGTCCAAATAATATTAGAGACTTCCTAGAGCTTAAATATTTTAAGGGGGTGATAGAGAATCCAGAGTTACCTGGTAGATTTGTCTTTGATTAGTCCGTTTCCAATTAATTGAGATTATTCACGGTAGCGTATTGTTGCTTGATTTTACGCAGAAATCGGTGCTTCAAGAGTTAAGCCGCGTTTATCGCTATCAGATTAATATATATACCGAAACATTACGCATGTATCTAACGATACTAGGAATTATCTATGCATGACGACATTAATATTTAAATAAAAATTACAATTTGTCTTTGATCTGAGGAGAAGATTTGCAAACATTTATATTTGCCTTATTCAGACCCTGCTTCAATAAGAAATAATGACAAATAATTGTTATTAAATGTTATCTTTATATTTTTCAACAATTCGGCTTGGAATAGTAAAAGTCACAAACTTCCTTCTTGCATGAATTGACCTGTTAATACATTGTGCCAAATAAACTTAGTGTTTTTAACTAGATTTACAGATTTAGATGTTAGTACATCTTTCAATAAATTTTCATTATAGTACTAGGGTATATTGTATTAGAGATTTAAATATTTAAGATTAAGAATCCTATATATAAAAAAAAAGACAGATTTGATCTCATAATATTTTAAAAATATTTTATTTGAGATAGAGGCATTCAATGATATATCTTGGATTATAAAATGTGAAAAATATTTCATAAATATTTATATAGTAGGAATTTGATTGTTCAAGTTTTGCAATCAAAAATCGCAATTTTAAAGAGAGCGGGAGAAAGCACTCAAAATAAAAGTTATGTCTGTCGTATTACGTTTAAAAAGTTGTGTAAATAATATAATATTTTATCTAAATTATTTTTTAATTTAAATCAATTTATTTAGTTTTGCTGTATTAAGCAGTGAGTGCTGAATTATTTTATTTGTTACAACAATGTTTTTCGGCAATAAAAGTTCAGGTACATAAACTACTTCGTAGAACTGTTTGATCTCTCTATTGCATAATAATAGTGCCAATTTATTTGTAAAAATATAGATATGTATATGTATCCGTCTGTTATAGCAAATATTAATAAAGCACTGTTGTTTACAAAAAGTTGAAATCCGTGTTCTTGTTTGATCAATTTTAAGTGACTGTTCGTATGTCTTTAGGTGGAATCAATACCGGAGGCTCTCGCACAAAGCTGAGCAATTTTTCTAATTTCATAGATTCTAATTCCGTATGCGACAAGTGTAGTTGCTTCTTCGTCGGTTTCACCTTTATTCGTAAATTTGGAGACAGTTTCAGTGTATTCACGGTACCTCTGCAAAATTAAATATTGAATAAATGAATTACAAAATACTTGAAATACATTTTTAAAACTATATATATATATTTTTTAAATTAAATAGATAATATTACTCACTTGTCATCGCCAACTATTATAAACGGCAATGTGTTATTAAAAGCTAATCGGGTCAGTTTGTTTTTTCGTTTACTGACAACCTGTTGACTGCAGATCGGCCTGTATTTATTAACATTCAAATCAAACACTGTAACTTTGCCATCGTTTGATACGCAAGCTAGCACCGTGGAGCTGTACGGTGCCCATTGAACATCCCCAATCGGAACACCCAAATCGAACATGAACAGCGGTTCCCTGTGTGCAAAGTATCACTGTAATGAGACTTGTGCAATTATTGAAGATGTAACTTACGGTCTTTCATCTTCCCAGATCTTGATTCGCCAATCTCCTGAACAGCTGGCAAAAATGCTGGAATTGTACTTGTTGAAGACTATCCGATACACCGGCATAGTGTGTGCTTCATGATATGTCCTCATGTAAATACTGCTGTACGCTGTATTGCATTTGTACATGGTACCCTCCTCTGTGCCCACCAGGAAAACATTCTGATCGGCGGGATGAAATGCGATGCACGTTCCACATCCTGGAAACGATTGGTATAGTCACGAGACTCTAGTTTCCTTTTAGTATTTGACTGTCGTCACCTTTCAGTGTAATCATCGTGCCATCTGGTCCCGGTATGGGTGGTCGGTCCAGGAATAATGTCATAACGGTGGTAAGGCCGAGATCGTTCTGATTTAACACCCAGTGATTTATTTTACCATCGATACTGACGCTAAAGAACGCCAGGTTTCCTTCCTCCGTATCAGGTGCCCAACGAATCTGTAATCAGTATTTGTTTTTTTTTTTAATTTTGTTAAAAGTGTCCCGTAGGAATTTTCAGTTTCATTATGAAGTATTAGAGCTAAAAGATTCAACAGACCTCCCATACTAACCCTCCATGCTTCTGCACAACGTCGTTGCTTTTATATTGTGGTGTGGATGGTGGTAACATTACGTTATAAACCGCCACTGCTCCGTCCATGGTACCTTTATTATTAATTAATTAATTAATGTTAACATACAGCAATATATTACAGCAATGCCATAACAATTATTTCAGAAACTAGACGAACTAATGCAAATATTTCATCGAAATTTTCAGTGAAAATATTTACACTTCTAAATAAATATCTATGTCATGCGTTTAAATACTTGGGATGGTATTATTTCACACCAATAACTAAAAGATGTGGATGTTGGGCGTTAAAATCTAGGCACATCACGGGAGATTCTGTCGGACAAATCCATTCTGGATACGATGGATTCTTCAAGCTGAATAAACACACCGTGCCGTTTGTTATTTGACTGTTAAATGACACTAGAATACATTAAATTCTCATTTACAGCTTGAACATTTATAAAAATTAAAATATGCATATTCTACTAACGTGATCCAAAGGCGACTGCAAAGAGATCGTAATATCTGCTGTTAAAGCACATGTCTGTGATGTCATGTTTCTTAGTCTTTTCATAACAAAATTTCCACAGAGGTAATAAGGAGCCTTCGCCTTCCTTGAATTCATCGCTCGGATCGTCCCAATATCTATAATCTAAAAACAATTGAAGAAATATATACTTGAGACTGAGATTTCTCATTGAAGAAAAGATCAGAAGCCTACCTTGTGATATATCATCGAAAATGTTTTGGTTCACCATTCGCTCCAACGTTTTTGCAGCTTGTAGCATTCTGTTTGTCATTGCTGAAGATTCCATTTGGGCTTTTTTCTTCACATCTTCTTTCTTTGGTTGTGTCACCGGTACCTTTTTCTCCTTTTCCTTCTCGCGTTGTTGTTGAGCATAGTCTTCCTGTCAGCAGAATAAAAGAGTTGAAACTTGTATAATATTTCTCTACGTATATGTCTTTCATACAAGAACAATAAATATGATATTTTGCATAGTAACATGCTAAATATAATACGAGATGAAGCATTTATAATGCTCTGCCAGAAATAAAACAATTTAATTAATAATTAATTAGAAGAGATCTTTTGTACCTGATACTCGTCAAAGATAGTCCATTGAAGGACATTGGCATTGAAAGTTGCGGTAGGTGGAGGTATAGTTTGTGTACTCATGTCCTGCAAAAGGTGTATTTGATTTATTTTCTATATCTGAACAAAAATTTTTAAATATATTTGGTATATAGAAAAAATATAATATACATGCCCTCATAGGATTATCATATGTCAACGCTGCTCTCTCACAAAAGTTGAATTGATTAGGTATTTTCTTGGGTTTTATCTTTTCTACTTCATCTTCCTCAGGTTCTGGCTCGGCTTCCAGCTCGTGTTCACGTTCAGCCTCGGCTAGCGCTTCCACCGTTTTATCTATTTCATCTACTGTTCTTATGGAATATACAATTTATATTTTTATTTAAAAAATATACGAGAATATCAAATGTGATTTATCAAGTCTTATATAAATATCAATATTTTCTATACCTACCTTCTTCCGCTTCTTCATATTCTGCTTCTTCTTCCGTTTTATCACGCTTTAATTTCTCATCTGTTGCCTCCTCTTGATCTTCAGCTGCATGATAATCATATAATTATTTTACATATATTAATTATTGCAATAAATAAAGAAACCTTACTAATTGTTCCTCCTGCCAATTGCACTTTGGCTTCTTCTGAGTCTTTGTATAATATAGTGCCAGTTATATCCAGAAGAGTTACTAAATGCGGTGGAGGAGGTAATCTTATAAATTCGCGTAATTTCCATGACCATTCGACTAAGGAGTCTGGTATCCTAGTATTATGTATAGTTAACACTCTGGCAAATTCCTCTTGTAATTCCTGAGGCAATAATTACAGAGTTTTAGTATTATCCAACAAAAAATTAATAGAGACATTAAACATACTGCTTCCGTTAACTGCAGTTGATCTTCTGGTCGCAGCAAAATCTTTCCTCGCATCCAGTCCATATCACCAGCACCCAAATCTAGTCGTGATGCATAACTCTTTGCTAAAGATAAATGCTGGAAAATTTTTATCTTTCAGTTTTCTCTAATATGACGAGTTATTTCTTTTGTTTATAAAGATATAACGACGAATATGTACCTCTTTACTTATTTCTGACACTTTGGAGGGCATCTTTTTGGGTATTGTCGGTGCCATTGTTCCTTTGTGTTTAAAAATATACTAAAGTAATCTCAACAGTCTCTGGCAATTGATAAACTGATTTCTCGCACTATTCTGTTTGTTCTGAACAATGTTGATCTATTTTATAACTCAACAATATTAATTTTCAATAATTTGTAATACATTATAATAAAATATATAAAGATATAACAGATAGAAATCTCAAACACTCTTTTCTCATCATTCAACACTGAGAAGTCTGTTACAGTTTCCTAGGATACGCCAGCCAGACCTTGATATAGAAATGTCAATATTGTCAATCTGTAATTAATTGATGTATCTATTTGTGATATGATTTTAATTTGAAGTAATATTCTCCCATGCCCTAATTTTCAAATATATCCAATTTCTCTTTACTTGACAATATATGAGTAAATTTATAATTTATTTAATATTTATATGCATGTGTATATGGGTCTAACGACAGACGCGTGGCATGTGAGAATCAAACGTTGGCAAAGTTGCCAAGGATGTAAAACGTCCAAAATTTGTATAAATTGTATAATTCTGTTCGTACGCAATATTCTGATCGATGTCATGCTAGTTTTTTTTGTTTTTCGACGCCGGGACAAGCATGCTTTCCTCTTTGGGGTTATTCTACGAAGAAAATCAATAATGGACTATACCACGTAATGTTAGCACTCCAACAAGTTGTAGAGCGATTATTACATAGAATTGTACGAATATAATTGGTTAGAATTTGTAAAACAATAGTTTACACAATTCTCGTAACAGGGAGTGACATATATACGTCATTAAGTTCTGAAAAATCCTAAAATAATACATAAGAACTGTGACATATGTACTCAACCTCTTCATTGTTTGCTTGAATACCAGTATTTTGTTAATTACAGTGGTGTTATTAATTGTAACGTGTGTTTTATATTTGGGACATTTCTGTTTTCATGTTGATCTTTTTACGTTTGGCCAGTTATAAAGCAAAATAAATAATGCAAACGTTTCTTTTTGTTTCAGATCAATTAAGAGAAGACAAGCTTCTATATTTCTAAATGTGTTGAATCATGGAAGATAGCGGTATTGATAGTGATCCTAAAGCTGTTAACCACGTTGAGGATGAAAGACTCTTCTTGGTAAATATCTTGGTAAACATTTATATTAACAGATGAAATGCTTGTCACTAGACTCAACTAATAGAGGCATGTATGGTTATGAGACTATAATATATAATTGTGAAATATAAATAATAATTTATATACAAGATAAAAATTGTTTAGGTATAAATATATCTTAATCCTTAGGTATAAATATGTCTTAATCCTTTTTGTAGGGCAGCGATAGCAGTTGCAGCAGTAACCACACACAGGTTTCTCAACGGAATACAACGAAACAGCTGCAAAAGAAACTTGGTACGGAAACAATCTTTTATCTTCTCATCTCGTTTTATTTTAACATTGTTGCTACAATAATTAATGTGACTTATATGATTGCTTTGTTGCAATTATATATGCAGTAATATCGTTCTGTAGAGACACGTATCGAACAAGCGAAACGAATCCAACGCAACTCAGATTACATAAAGCTTCCAAAATATGACAATGAAAATGCAAGCAGCACCAGTTCCGGATTGATATCAATTCAAAGATTGCCTATACCACATAAAAATAAGGAACATCTTCCTCTAGTCGAATACTGGCATAGCGATAGTGAAAGGTATTAAGCAATAATATGCGTAAAGAATTGTCAGATGACATTAACACGTTGTATTATATTTTAAATTTGATTTTTGATCTGTCATACGTATGATTTTTATTAATTAAATATAGTAAAATATATGTTTATTATTATATCATATTTTTGATAAAGAAAATGTCTGTATGTGATCAAGTTTAATTGATATATTCCATTTGCTATGTGTTTAGTGGGGATGAAATGACTCTCTTTCCGGCGAAATCTAAGGATTCCTCAAAGCACAAACAAGATCTCACAGACACGTTCAGCATCGGGGAATTAAGCGACGAAAGCGAGGACTCTTTGAATCTGGATCCAGCGCAACCACCACGTCCCTTCATGCGAACTTACGTACCTACTGGGTGTTGCCATTGCCACATATTATAATGTAATATAGTTTGCACACTGGACTGAGATCGCTTTAAATCGATCGATTATTATTTAAGTATCAATATGCCATTGAAAACATATTTACATATTATAAACTTTTACCAAGTTATGTTTTCTTCAAGTTTATTTTGAGTTACGAAATCAATTTATTGTATCACATTGAATCATATATTGTTTACGGAGAAACACGTGCTTAATTATTAAAATTATTTTATTAAACTGCTGTCTAATAAGTTTTTTTCATCGTTATTGTTATTTAATGGATCGAGGATCGACCATCTTGTGAAGAAGCACAATTGCGACGTTCGAGCAAAAGGATTAATCGGTTCAATGAATGCAACAATTCATTGGGGACATCGCTTTCTTCTTCGTGACCGAAGCAATTATTGTTAAGGATATTATTCAAACGGAGTTTCTCAACGTTCACTAGCCATTGGTAACATTCGCAATACCTATTTTGCATGATATCACAGCAGGTAATATCCTTTAGGTTTTATTATGCAGCGTATTGCTCAAGTGCATTTCGATTGAATTGTCAAATTAATGAAGGAAGCATCAACTTAATCTCTTCTCTATTTTCAATTAAATAAGTAATAAGATTTTACACGAGGTAATAACTTCAATCAAGGAAATAAATTGTAAGAAATATTCACGTATATTCAGAATTATTCGTTTAGATAAATGCTCTTTTTTATTCTTGTTTATTAAATAATCATAAACAATTTATTTAACCATAATTTTTTTTCTATATGAACAAGTACGACAGTGTTTTTGTAAAACTGTTTTTTTTAAATGTTTTTTAATAGAATAATAAAGGAATATATCAAAAACATTTTATGTGAACGAGAGTCTTACACACAAAAATATTTATTTCTTAAATATTATAATATATTAGAAAGCCATTAATAGAACAGAAACACAAGTTGCTTGGCGACTTTTAGTTGCACGAGATATACTTTTTTCTTTCGTAAATTCGTTTCCTTTGATTATCCTGTACAATGCTGCATTACGAAAGAGTACGAAAAAGACTGATACAAGTGGATTTTGAAAGATCGCCAACATACAAGGCGGAATTATAAGTTTGTCGTGCGTTACACTTTTATTAGATTGCAATGTACGTGAGAGGGATTTGTGGCGCATCGAACGGACGCTTGGTCGCGAGTGTAATACAGGAAGACATTTCGTGTACGAGGACAAGAAAAAATAACCGTAATTGAGCGTTATAATTGAATGCGGACGGGCAACCGATATTTTTCTACAATCCTGAAAATTATACGGAGACGTTCTTCGGCAATCTCATTGCTAAATATCGATGCGACCTTGTGGATTTTCAAACTACAGGAAATTATCAATTCAACGAAGATCTTCATGTAATTGAAGAGTTCCTTTTTGTTGCAGATTAAGTAATTCTTGGTAAAAGGTCATTACTTCATTTTATTCTAAAGTCTAACAAAAAGCAATAGTCTCTCTTTGCATCTCTCTTTGTACAACAGACGTTTATATGTTTAATAATGCAATTTTAATTTAAAAAAATTCGTTATTTTTACTTTTGTGAATTTAAATTTCAGATACTGACGTAAAATATCATAGAAGAAATTTCACACGGTCCGCGTGTACTAATTCAAGAGAATAGAAAGAAAGTCTTGTTTCTCTCGGCGGCCCTTAAAAACTTGGCGTTCTAAAGGCACGCCTAAGCGCGCCGTTGCGTAAATCATAGCTTTTCGCGTGTATAAAATCGCCGGGCGAGCGAAACAATGCCGCGCACGCTTAAGAGAACTTTTCTAGGCACGCACAATGTGCGCCAGATCGTACCGGTGAGATACTGCGTGCGGAGAATACCGGGAGGATGCCGCTCTAAAACGTGCCCGAACGCGCTCCGTTACGGAACCCCGAGAGAAACGGCCTTTTTCCGCTGCTTGATCTCGATCGTAGTACGAAACGCGCATTGCGTATGCATTTCTTCCAGTCGTAGGAGTCGAGCAGCTCCCTTGGGTGAAGAATGCTGGTGGAACTTTTTCAGCCGCTCGCCGGAATTTTAAATTTTTCCTTCGTTGAGCTTCGAATAGGTATATATTACTTCATCAACGCGGAAATCCGAGGCATCTCTTATCTTTATTACTTTTGATTACGTTGTTATTTGTTTAAAGATTTGATTTATCACGTTTATCCTAGGCGTTACGAAATTTCTGCTTGATATTAATTTATTATATACCGAATATTTTTTATTATTCTATGAAATTTCCCATCAAGTTTGTTAATACTTTTAAAACAATTTGTATAAAAATGTGAAAGAATTCAAGTGATTCAAGTGTATTCTTACGTATTTACTGTTTATAAATATCTACGTTTTGTAACGAGATTTTTATATAATTTTCATGGTTAAATTAATTTTTGCATATACATATAACAATTAAATCGGAGTTAATACAGAGCTATTGTCTTTTTTTGAAATAAGTAAAAACTACACATAAAATAAAACTAATTATATTCTAATTTTTGATCATTGTTATGATTTACATATTCTAAGATATAATTGTAAAATTATTGCCATGTTTATTTTAAATATTATCGCCGACTGTATATGATATATAATGGATATTTTTCCCTTCAAAGGACTCCTTCTGATCGTAAACGCGAACACGAAAATGCAGTGTCGTGCTGGTAGCGCGATAGCGTTCTAATTAATGGCCCGTGTATCTGAAATTTATTCCACCTCCCCGCGGTATTCCGGCGAACTCGATTTTTAATTAAGCCTCTCGACAAGCGTACGCGCATTAACAAACCGCGTCGGTTCGGCTCGCCACGTGAATAAACGTTTTGTTGCGTTAAATTCTCGTATCTCCGCGAGACGCATGATGCATCGCGTATGAATATTTAGCCGCACGTATATGCGTTCTCGTATATTACGCGTGTCTACGCAGTGGCCCAAGGCATTCCGGGGCCTTCCCTTCCTGGTTGAATGCAAGATTAATTTATTCCTCGCGAGGAACTCCCGACAACCGCGATAAAAATTTCTCGGTGACGTTTTTCGGGCGCTTAAATATTTTGTGCGCGTCTCTCTGTTGAAGCAACATGTGAAATCGGCTGGACTACCTGTTTACGATATTCCTGTTATCTCTTGTCGCCTAACTAGGATTTTATTAATTTTGTTTTTAATTTTGTAACGATACTTCAATATTGCGTTATTATCTCCAGGGTGTTCCCTGGTCAAAGGGGAAGAGAACGAAAGAGAGAGAGAGAAAGAGGCGGTGAAGCTGGAACACCCTGTGCAACATTGTGGAGGGTATGCATCGTCGACGCCACCGATGCGGCCGTAAATCGAGCCAGACTTATGGCATATTTAGTAACCAATTTAATGCAATAAATTTCGTCCTCTCCTAACGAGAGCGCGGTAACCGGTAATGCGTGAGCGCCGCTAATGTTCTTCCATTTATTCGCAGGCTCGACGGAAGACGGAAGGCTAGTCGGCGACGGAAATGCGATGCTTCCTGGAGCTTCCACCCAGATGTTTATATTTATTTTCATCGCACACCCACGTGGTGAACGACGATCCCGATTTATGTTAAAATCGATCGATTTGTACGCAAACGACTTTCATGTCACTATAAAGATGATAATGACAATTCAACAACAGATCCTGTTTGAGAATCTAATCTCCGAGTTGACGAACGGATCTGTGATCGTGAGAGTAACCCGGTGGCAATGGTCAATAAAAGTGCCAAAACCTCATGCCACCCGAGTAACTTTGTCTGCCAATTTAATTCGGAAACCAGTAGAACCGGCTTTCGTGAGAATTTGTTCTTCGCGCTCGGGAAAAAAGAAGAAACTGCGAGAAAAACGAGGGAGAGAGGGAGAGAGAGAGAGAGAAAGCGACAAAGACGTAAATTTACATATGATCTAAGCAAACCAAAAAAGCTTTAACAATCTTGCTTTTTTTCGAAAGCATAGCGTTCGGCTGCGCCGAGTTCTACGGCGCGAAAAGCGAGTCTTTATTGTTTACAATAGATTACACCAAGTCGGATTATTTGCGGTAATTATGATTAATCCGAATTTGCGAATCGAGCGAGCTCGCATCCCGAAACCGACGAGGGTCGGATAGGACTCGATTCGTTACATTTTACTTATTCGCGCGTCTTCGTTGGAGCCCCGTGGTTTGTGCATTCTATGTGTACATCGCATTACGTTGCGCATTAGATATCGCAGCAGATTATCGCGCGCGATATCGCGATATGTACGATGGCGCAGATCTGAGGTTGGCAACGAGAACGATGTCTTTTTCTTCGGGCTGACATGGCACGCGGGATATTCCGTCATATTTACGAGCGCTCGGGGAATGAATCCCCTTTTCGGGACTCGCATAAACTATGAAAACGTATTCGCGCGGTCACGAATCGAAAGATTCTAAAACTGGCGCCAGATTATGCGCGATTTGTGGCGATTCTTGCTCTTTGATTTCGTAAAAAAAAAAGAAAGTTGCTGGCATTGATACGAATGATAAACGATGAATGCGAACATGCCCATTCACGCTACTTGCGAATCTCATACGAATAACGAACAGTAAATCTCAAACCTCGAATCGCGCATAATCTAGCTCTAGCTGGTAATTTAATCACACTTTTCCAGTATTTCGTCAGAGACAACGTAAAGACTCGCTATTTTTAGAATCTAGTTAATAAAACACTTTTCAAATAATGAAAATCTTATTTCTCGTTAATTAAAAGCTGATTTATGAGTTGTTATCGATTGAATCTATTTGATAAAACATTTTTCCAACTAGCATAGAGAATCGTATTTCACATTAACTAGAATTAAATTTATGAGTCGTTATCGATTTAATCTTTATAACGACGTTATTTGTCAAATATCGTTTGCATTCATATCGTAATGATTATCGGTATACTCACAATCAGTTACATTCATGTACATCAGTTATAAATAATAAGAAAATGAAAGAAATTTCTCAGATTAATTTAAATAAGAAGTGCTGTAAATACTATATAAATACATTTTCTTTATCACTTTAGATATCAATAATGAATAATGGCACAATGAGCATTTATTACAGAGCTTATTCATTATATCTCATCAGATCTCTGCCAAGATTTCCATAAATATCACAGAAATCATTATTTGTAAATATCAACGATTCCCGCGCGCGTATTCGCGCCGGAAAAGCCGGAAGGGCGAGGGGGAGCGCGAGTGCGATTCGAGACAAACATCACACCGTTGCCGCGATCCAGGTGCATCGACCGGGCGTCCGGGCTTCCTCCTCGGGATAGAAAACCACAGGCCACCTGTCCGCCTCGCGGTCGACAGAGAGAGCAAGAGCGGACAGAACAGAGAGGGAAGGAGGAAGGAAGGGAGGCCGATAAGGTAAACGCCGTAAACGCAGATTAACCGGTCCGTCCGTCGCGTTTACGGCGCGTGTCGAAAATTTTTCAAGCGAGTACACTCCGTAAGGGAGCCGTAGAGAGACGAGATTCTTCGAAGAGGCTAAAAGCATAGTTTGATATAATTTAATAAGCGTGGAATTATCGCGTTGTCGTCTCTCTCAATCCTGTCTACAAATATGAGGAGTCGTTAAAGATATCGGCTGTGGAAATAATTTGGGGTCGGTAGCGAAAAGGGATGAAGGCGCGAAATGGCGTTTCTTGAAGCGCCGCGCACTTCAGATCGCACCGCGCGGCTTCGATATCAATCTGAATCGATCGACGCGCCACTACGCCAATGGACTCGTCCGCGCGCATAACGGGGCTGTCGGGGCCCGGAGCTCGAGCGGTCCGCTGCTTGCGCACTCCGAAACCCATCGCGCTTCCTGCATCAACGGCTTTTTTCTCCCGACCGGGCTTAATTAAATCTCGGTAGGTATGCCCGCTTAGCGGCGAGGGAGACTCATAATATCAAGGCTGCTGCGTGAATTCCGTTTGCCGTCGCGAATCAATATATACCGACGCGACGCGCCGCAAAAAGGTGTTCTGTCCCGCCGCCATTTTTCGGTAACGATTTAGGACGCCTTGCTCCGTTCTTAATTTTATGTTTCCGGATTTTCGATTTAAAATTGGTATAACATACAAGATTTAGAAGCCATATTTTGTTAAGTATTATATTCGCGTTTCGATATATCTTGAAGAGAAAGAGATCGGAAAGTTGGAAATATTGACAATCAATGTTAATCAATATTAATAATTAACTCCTTTCTTGTGCAACTGTGACTGTAATAGAGAGAAATGCTCACTTTTAATTCGCGCAATTTTTATCATATTAATTCTGTATCAAAAGCGCTTAATATAATAGGTAGTAAGAACAATTGTGCTGGAAACATTTAATTTCTTCATATACAGATATCTGAACGATGTTGCTCTTTTATCTCTCCGTCTGATCGTTAGGCGATTTGCGACGTACGATAAAAAATGGCGTTAAGTAACATAATCGTACGTGCAACGTACGGCGAGTAGAAGCGGGAAGGGGTGCTCGCGCGCGCGCGCTTACGCATGCGCGGGCGAGCGGGCGAGGGTGGAAGCGGAGCGAAGTGAAAAGCGCGCGCGTTCCCATGAATGAAATTGGCGGCGGGTCGCCGCGGGGGAGACGGGCGTACGCGGCTCACTTCGGGGACTCGCGGTTTGTTCGCGCGCGCGCGAGTGCGCGCAACCGCTTCGGTGAACGTTCGGGAGATGTCGCGGCTCGCGTGGCGACTGGTTCGAAACACCTGACCGCGGTATAGCGTATAGCGTGGTATAGCAGTGCGGCATGGGCTGGTGTGGCGGGCGCACACTTCTTTCAAAACAGGTAGCACGCGCTACCGGCTGACAGCGCGCGGCGTGGCGATATTCTCCCGGTTCTTCCTTCCTCCCTCCCGACCCTCTCAGCCCTTGTCCGCGCGCTCGAGGTACAACGGAGTGCGGTCACGTGATACTCCGCGATTTTTACGCGGCGCGCGCGCGCGGGGCTAAGTTCACATGGAGCACCGTCGCGGTGCGCGACATCGACGTTCGCGAAGTCGTTTCGAAGTCTTCGTCCTCGTTTCGAGACTCGCTCGCTCGGCCGCAAGTCTCTCGGGTAGAACGTGCCCGGGCGCAGTGAAAAACCCACCGCGTGTCGGACTCGCGAAATTGTAGTAAAAGAAAATGTGACCGCGATCGACACGACGCGCGGTGACCGCGGCGCAAAGACCGAGTGCGGAACAGTGGTATTTGAACGCGCGTTCGCCGAAAAATGACGCTCGTCGGTCGGACATCGGTTAGGACAGTGTTGCTGACGTCGTTGCTCCCGATTTCAGTGGTGCTGGTGCAGCTGGTGGTGCTGGCGCGCGCTGGGGATGTGGCGACCTTGGAGTACGGCGTGGAACCCCTTCCGGCAGCCAGGGAAGAGCGGCCGCGTCCGGATATAGGTGAGTCAATGAGTTTTAGCATTCCGCTTTAATTCGCTCTCGGCGAACGGGCGAAGTCAACATATTAATCAGCTCTCGATTGTTTCTATGAAAAAGTAAATACATTCTAATTTAATTGTAAAGGGATCAAAATATTAGAAAAGTACAGTACGAAAACACAAGAATATCGTATATTATTTTCTCTTTAATTCTATATTTCAGTTTTTAATTCTGCGAGCGTCTTTATATTCGTGCTTGCTTGTAATTTAATATAGCGACATACATAGATTATACATATATCGGATTCGTTATGATACCTGAAAGATTAATAGCTGAAAGTTTCTATTTGAAACATTGACAAATGAAATAGAAATTTATTTGTGAAGTGGGATATTAATTATGATATCAATTACGAGAGGCGCAACAAGAAAGCAAGATACGATAAAAATTTGAATTCAAAAGCAAATCAATATATAAGAAGAATAATTAAACGTAGATCGATAATAATAATTGGAAAAATTATAATGCGTTTTCCTTTTTATCATTCTCGCATTAGTAAAATAATAGTACGTCTCACGGTCGATTATATCTTCCTCACAGTACTTTAGGATAGGGAAAAATTGCACCTATATAAAAATATAATAATATAGAAGGGTGAAAGGAGCATCTACAAGACATTTTACCGTCACTGCATCCTTATCTATCTTCTTCCTTTTATTCTCGCGCGAAGATGCACTCTCCGGCGATCATTGCAATGACGGTGAATGCCTGAACTTTGTTGCTCGTCTCAGCTTTGCCGATGAAGAACGACCTTTGCACTCGGTTGCTTCTGTGAAAGTACGCTCGCGCATCCTCTATTCGCTTCGCGGCAATACTTTACGTCCCGCAGAATTCTCGGCAAATCCCGTAGATCCTGAAATTTGATTGTGAATTTATATTTCCAAAAGAACGAACTTACTAAAATCTACTTTACGTTAACCAGTTAAATTATTTAAGTTATCGATATTTATAATTATTATTGATGATGTGTATAATTTGTTTTTGTCAAGTATCGAAAAATTGCGGTTCATTATAACATGATTTAGCAATGGTACCACAGTTATATAATATATACATATGTATATATTAAAATTTTATTTTTACATTCTCACTATTCTCTTCTCCACAGATTTGTTGAAAAATACATTTATATATTTGGATTTTATTATTTGAATTAAATACCAATCAATTTCGACGATTTCACTGGAATCGTCGGACTCTAATTAATTCTATACGAAGCTCGTCTGCTTTTCAAATGCTATTTCTACGGTTCGTAGAAGCGTCTTCGACGTGTACAGTATCGCAATTAAAACGTCCGATAATAGACACGGGTCGGAAACCGTTCCCACATGGTCTTTAGAAATGCGCGACGCTCATTTTGTCGGGCCGCATCCGTCGTCTCGATCAAATCGATTAATTTGCATGCACTTAGAAAGGCGGAAGCACGTGTGTCGACCGCAAAGCCGATGAATCCTCGCGAGGGCTCCTTTGTGAGTGCAGATTAGTCGCGCGACTGCACTTTCTATTGGCAGTCAAACGCGATGAGTGCAGCAAATGAATTTTAACGCGATCAGCATACTGAGATCGGCGGCCGAGCCTTTTTCCGCGACGATTGCATTTCGCCTTTAGATCATTATAGGCCTGTTCGTTTTAGCTGAACTTTTTGCACACCTCATCTTTCCTCTTTTTCTTTTTATGAAAAGACTTCATCTTTTCTCCTTTTCATGAAAATTGCAATAATTGTTCAGCTAAAACGAACAGGCCTATTGTCAACATGTGTTTATCACGATTCGATCCGTCAAGGCGTTAATAAAAATATCGCCTCGCGGATCTCGTGGGTTGAAATTAATGGACTATGATTCCCTGGTAATGACAAACGATTGTTTGAACTCTTTTGCGCTGCTCGTTACAGTTTTTCGAGCGCGATATTCGGTGATTATTAGAAAGAAAGCAACCGGCCTTCTTCACGGCTCGTTGAACTTATTGCACGCCGTATTTAACAATAATCTAATTAATTTATGATCAAGTTTTATCGACCAAAATGGTAATTACTATTTAGCTTATATTTTTACGATATTTCTTTAAATATATGCACAATATATATTTTAGCAAGGGACCTTTTGACGAAAGTATTTCTTTTTTTTTATTTAATGGAACTAATCTCTGAAGTTTTACATCCAAAAGTTTTGAGTTACTTTTGAATTGCGAAATTAAACTTTCCTCATGTATTTGAATTACTTTCTCCATATTAAAATAGCTGAAATAGGGGAAATCA